TCAGTGAAATAAATTAATTTTTTATATATCATAACTGGGAAAACTGTAAACCGCATATACAATTCCCAAATTATACTTCGAAAAATTATCATGACTAATCTGTGCAATGTTCCAAGTGGTCTTGAAACGAATTATGATTTGAGAACGCTAGATTTTTTTTTTTTTTTGAAGTAGAAAACTAGCTAGATACGTAAGTAAATTCTAAATTAGTCATTCTAGTTTTGAAAAAAAAATTAATTAATCAATTCCTCTTGATAGAGAAACTAATTATTTAGTTCTTATATATTAAAAAAAAACTTAATCATTTTCACTCCTTTTTTAATTTAATTTATTTTGAAAAATATATATATATATAAAAAATCAATGCAAAAAGATAACATTTTATGAAATTAAGCATTTTTAAAATAAAAAAGACTGATTGATTTGTTTTTCAAAAAAAAGAAAAGGACTAATTTGTAATTTACTCCTAGATACGGTTGGGTTTTTCGTAAGCAAGAAAATATCATGTACGAAGAACGAATAAAAACAAAAACATAAAGATACACAATCATTCTCCTATTAAATCCCAATAATTCAAGGACATTTTAGGAAACAAGACAACAAAATATTTATAAAAAAATAAAATATGAAAAAAAAACGCATCATTTCAAAACAAGAATCCCATTAAAATCTTACCTTTCTTATTGCCTATTGCCTATCAACAATGATCAATCACATGACTTACTGATATTACCCAATTTTAATCCTCCAAGCCAAGGTGCAATCTTTTATTTATTTACTGGTTAATAGGTCAAAATTAAATTGTAATTACTTAATATAAAAAATTTATTCGATAACTTAAATAATCTCATATTAAAAATTTAAATTTAGTCAAAATTTACTTAATCGGATAAGTTAAAGTTTTTAATTTATTACTTGTTTGATTAACATGCTCAATTAAAATATTTTTAAAATTTTTTAAATATGACTATATTGCTCATATATATTTTTATAACTTTAGATATACAAACTAACCGAAAAACAATCTCTATTATTCTCATTGCTAAAACAGAGGAAACCTTCTCTATTATTGATGCTACCATCCTTGAATGCGAAATGCCAATTAATGTTATCCGAGATTGTATTTAATTTTTTATTAATAATTATTTTTATTGAATTTTTATTTATTTATTTATTTGTATATACAAATACATCTATGTATATATTTTTATTTGTGTTAACAACTATTATATTATAATTACAAAGTTAAAATTATTATATATATAGCCTTAATATGTTCGAGTAATAGTACTTATTAAATAAACTTATTATATTCAACACTTAATTTTCAATAAATACCAAAAAGCTTATCGAAATATATTCAATACTTAATAAATTCAAGCACTTGATTTTCAGTTTTATCAACACCCCTTACTGTTATTGTCCAATTTTAATCATTCAAGCCAAGGTGCAATCTTTTATTTATTTACTAGTTGATAGATCAAAATTGGTCTTTATACAATAAAATAATTGTTTAATATGTCTTTATATGTCTCATTGAACTGATTTTATTTTTCAATATACAATAATTATCTAATATGTGTTAGCTACAAATTAATACACAATTTGCACACAAAACCTTTATATCTGACTGAATTAAAAAACAATTTTAAAATAAAATTTTATTAATTTGGTTTGAAAATTTTGATAAAACGATATAGCAAAAACTTAGATTTTAAAATAAAACTTTAGCTCTCTCTCTCTGTTGTGTGGTGGTGGTTGCGGCGGTGGCGAGGGGGTATGTTAGCTACAAATTCGGTGGCCAGCATGGAACGGCGAGAGCATTAATTGACAGAGGAAATGCCAAGTAAGGTTTGAGCTGTGACCGACTCACAGTCTGACTAAGCTACATGTGTTTGATTAATAAGTTTCACTCGCATTTCCACCTCATTTACACCTCACTTTTCCACTTTCTTACACCTCCCAATAGAAAAAGGAATAGAGGATGGGAGGAAAGGTGGCATAGGTCAAAATCAAATCCAATCCCAAAAGTGAGTAAATTGTAAATTATTCCTTCTAATTTTGAAAAATAAATTAATAATTATTTTTATTTTAAAAATTAATTATTTAGTTCTTTTTATCCATTTTATGTTATTTTTTAATTTATTTTATTTTTAAATAGAAAAAATAGATATTATAAAAATATTGATATAAAAAAGATATTTTATGAAATAAAATAAAATAAAATTAAGCATAATCGACATTAATTAAGAGATTAAATAATTAAATCATATATACTTCGCAAGCCCTTCGGACCAACTTGGGAAAACAACGTGCATGGATGCATTTAGTTGAGTAGCAGAGAAATTTTTTAATGTTTTTTAATCAAATATATGAATTTTAATTTTTTTTGTTTGAATATATTAATTTGTTTACAAAAAAATTGCCCATTGAGTATTTTCATTCCAATAATATCGGTTATTTCATTATTTAATGTCGTATTTTTTGCTCCGGACTATTAAATTATAATTTGTTAAAGGACCATCTCACCTAAAAGCTTAAGTCGATAAGTGAGGTCCTAGAATATAATTTATATTGATCTCTAGCACACCCCTCAAGTGAAAGGCTCAACATTTGGAGCATGAAACTTGTACGAGTCTACATTGCCTTGTACTTAATACTTGAGAAATTGGGAATGGTGAGACTTGAACTCGGGACCTCAAGGTCAACTAGGCTTTGATACCATATTGAATGACCATCTCACCTAAAAACTTAAGTCGATAAGTGAGGTCCTAGAATATAATTTATACTTGGTCTCTAATATAATTCATAACAAATCAATTGGATATTTACTATACAAAAAGTATAAAAAAAAAAAAAAACTGGTTTGCATCTCCTCCAAGAATGAAGAAAACAAAATCATAATATAGTAAAATGGGGCAAAAAACAACTCCTCGGGTAAGAAAATAAGTAACAAAAATTAGATAGAAATTACTCTATTAATTTTTTTAAAAAAATTAATATACATAAATAAAAATAATTATAATTCATATATTCGATTAAAAAAATTAAAAATTGATATAAGAATTATCCCCCAAATCTTGCATAATACAAATTGTAATTTTCTTTTCCTTAGCATATTTATGGATATACATGCATTTATTTGTCCATCAAAGCTTAGTTGTATGGCATATTGATTGAGTGGTTAGGTAGCCCCTTCCTTTTAAACCAACGGTGAATATTGAGTGGTTGGGTAGGCTGCTCACATGCACCGTCTCCAGGCTGGACCCAAAGGCAGAAGAAAACAAGCTAAGTAACTCTGCACAAAGCAAGATCTATTTGAGTAAATTATAAATTAGTCCCTCTAGTTTATAGAAATAAATTAATTATTTTGCTTTGTTTTAAAAACTAATTATTTAATCTTGTATTTTTAAATCTACTTGTAATTGAGTTTTTCTATTTTCTTTCAATTTATTTTGATTTTTAATTAAAAAATAAAAATATATTGAAAATATTAATAAGAAAACATTTTATGAAATAAAATAATATTAAATTAAATATTACCAACACTGATCGCATAATTAAATAATTAATTTTTGAAATAAAAAAAACTAATTAATTTATTTATTAAAACTAGAAAGACTTATTTATAATCTACCTGACCCATCCCCTATATCTCGATTCATACTAATTTTTGAATAGGGATGCATTTACACACTATTATGTAGTTAATTAATGAAATTAGTTTGAATAATGCAATTGGTTTGAATTTTTTAAAAAATACAATCATTTTTGTGTTCTTAATGAGGAAATTCAAGCTCAGATCTAACATGGTTTGAAAATATTAATGCCTAATAAAATTGCAATTTATAGATGGCTCAAGTCATATGGTGTTACAATATTACCATGAATTGTGTGTATTACATATAAAGATATTAATTATTTTCATACATATGAAAAATATTTATTAATCTCTTACAAATAACACATATTTTAGCGTTGATATTATAATTTTTTGTCATTTTTTAACTCATACATTCAAATTTTATAATAGAATTAGTATATTAAAATTTGAACCGATGACTTCTTACTGTAAGAGATCATTATTATTAGACTATACATTCTTTAATACGTTAATATTATAATAACATATGCCTTTTGATGATATTATAATATCCTAAGCACATACATTATTTTTATATTACAATGTATTTTATCATTACAGTGTATTATCGCAAGCATATATATTTGATTTACGATGATGATATTGTAACATCACGAGCACATATACTATGGTAGCGTCACATTATCAATGAATGTGATTATTTTTCACATGAGCAATAGTAAAATTGCATTATTTTGCTTACATTATTCGCAAGGCATCATACAACACGAGAAATTTTATAATACATAAATGAAAATTTATAATATATATAATAGTTATTCTATAGATTCATTTGAAAGAGAGATAGATACATAAAATTACATCTAGATTCATAAAAAATGATAAAAAAATTTTACGTTTGTTTAATTTCTTAAAATTTTTTTCCTCTTATCTCTCTCTTATTTTTACATATCTATCTCTCTCTAATAATGAATACATAAAGTATATGCTATTAATTACTCTTTATCTGTTATAAGATTTATGGTACAACAAGACCAGACAAAAATTGTTAATGGCTGGTTGAAAAATTCCCGCCAACACAGGAAGAGATATTTATTTATTTAATGTCTTTTGCAACTAGCTAGCTAAGGTAGCACAAAAAAGGAGGAAAGGACTTCTTGTCCATGTTTCAAGGAGTCCCTGGATTGCAATATTTGTAATTTGCAACTCCTTGTCCTTGTCCTTAACAGCACAAAACTCCTTCGCCAGCTTATACTATAAATAGCCTCCCCACCTTGAACTTCTTGATAACATAAGCTGTCTACTTTGTTGTTCTTCTTCTTGGTGTAGGGATTGTGTGTTTGTTTTCGTTTTATTTTTGGTTTTGGCTTTGGTTTCTTTGTTTCAGAAGAGAAAGATGACAGTAGGGGCAGGGATTTCAGTGGCAGATAGGAAGTTGGTGGTGTTAGGGAATTGTGTGTTGAATGATGTTCATGATAACATTGAGATAACACCAGCTTCTGGGGGTGGTTTCATCAATGGAGCTTTTATCGGTGTCCGATCAGATCAAGTTGGCAGTCGAAGGGTTTTTCCTGTTGGAAAGCTTGAGTATGTCCCTTCTTTCTCTTCTTGTTTTTTTTTTTTTGGTCATTGTTTTTCGTTTCTCTGTTTGTTTCCTGAGAAAATAAGAGAGAGACAGAGTGAATGTTAATAGTTTAATTTCCTTGGTGATGAAGACATTGCATAAAAAGACATTCTCTCTCTCTCTCTTTTCGGATGATGATTGATGAATTTGGGGTCTTTCTAATGATTTATGATGTGGGCAAGCGTTAAATTTCTAATAAATATCGTTGATATACAGGGGATTGCGGTTCATGTGTGTTTTTCGATTCAAGATGTGGTGGATGACGCAAAGGATGGGAAATTGTGGTCAAGATATTCCCTTCGAGACACAATTTTTGATTGTTGAAGCTCGAGATGGGTCTCATTTTGACAGTGGGGAGGAACAATCTGCTTTGTACACCGTTTTCTTGCCAATTCTTGAAGGAGATTTCAGGGCTGTTCTTCAAGGGAATGAGCAAAACGAGCTGGAGATCTGCTTAGAAAGTGGTATGAGAAAAGATTCATAAATTTGAGTCTGATATGATTTTACAAGGCTTTTTATTTTTATTTTATTTTTAAGTTTCGTAACTGATTAAACAAATTTCTGGGGTATTTTGCAGGAGATCCTGATGTTAAAGAATTCGAGGGGAGTCATCTGGTTTTTGTGGCTGCTGGTTCAGATCCCTTTGATGTCATCACAAATGCAGTGAAGTAAGTTTCGTGAGTTACGTAACTTGCCAAACTTGTATGATTATTGCTAGGCAGACAGCTTGAAATTTTGCGATATTTAGCAAATACAACTGCTATATTTAGTTCTTCTTGGGGGCCTTGAACTAGCTACTGATTTTAGATCATTTGACATGTTTATATATTTTTCCTTAATTAATACTGAATACAGGTTTGTAGTGTTCATAAATTCTCTCTTATAGCCGGTTATTTCATTGAATTGTGACCAAAATGGAAGTATTGCCTTAAATCATTTACCAACTTGTATTTTGGGTTGTACTCAGGGCTGTGGAATCACATTTGCAGACATTTTCCCATCGCGACAAGAAGAAGGCAACTACTTTTTTCTTCTTGTTTCTTTTTTTCTCCAGAATATGATTAATTAGCATTTCCTGAAGTTCCTTTCTGTACAACTTTTCGTACTTAGTTCTGTCTTCTTGAATAATTTTTCTTCATGGTTCAGATGCCAGACATGCTGAACTGGTTTGGATGGTGCACATGGGATGCTTTTTACACGAATGTCACTGCAGAGGGTGTGAAGCAAGGATTAGAGAGGTATTGCTCTTTTCTTCAAAGCTACATAGAGAATTACATGATTCGAACGTGATAGATTGGTACTAATAAGAGGGATATTGCAGCTTCGAGAAAGGTGGAATTCCTCCAAAATTTGTTATAATTGATGATGGATGGCAATCGGTCGGAATGGATTCCACCGGTATCGAGACCATAGCTGATAATTCAGCCAAGTAAGCACTTAAACCTCATTCTGTCTTCCATTTGTCCTGTAATTCTGTATTGACTAACCCATTTGTCAACTGTGCTTCAGCTTTGCAAACAGATTAACACATATCAAAGAGAATCACAAATTCCAGAAAGATGGAAAAGAGGGCCACAGAGTGGAGGATCCAGCTTTGGGGCTGAACCACATGGTGACCCAAATCAAAGAACGACATGATTTGAAGTATGGTTTCCTTATTAGTGACAATGCATCAACTTTCCTTCGAGTAAACCAATCTTTGATACTGTACTTACATCGACAACTTGTGTCGTAAATGGTTCAGGTATGTTTATGTGTGGCATGCAATAACAGGATACTGGGGAGGGGTTAGGCCCGGTATCGCTGAAATGGAACACTATGAATCGAAGATGGCTTACCCTATTTCATCTCCTGGGGTTGAATCTAATGAGCATTGTGATGCTTTGAAAAGCATTACCACGAATGGTCTTGGCCTTGTGAATCCTGAAAAAGTTCTCAACTTCTATGATGAACTTCACTCCTATCTTTCGTCAGCTGGAATTGATGGGGTCAAAGTTGATGTTCAGAATATCCTCGAAACTCTTGGGGCAGGCCACGGCGGAAGAGTGAAACTTGCTAGGAAATACCATCAGGCATTGGAGGCTTCTATTGCTAGAAACTTCCGTGACAATGGGATCATTTATTGTATGAGCCACAACACCGATGGTTTGTACAGGTAAAACTTTTCCTTCTGTTCTTTTAATGTTTTCTATCTTAATAGTGACATCTTCAAGATTTGCAATTGATCTGACTTGCCTTATTTGCGCAGCGCAAAGAAATCAGCTGTAATAAGGGCATCAGATGATTTCTGGCCAAGAGATCCAGCATCACACACAATTCATATTGCATCAGTTGCTTATAATACCATATTTCTAGGGGAATTTATGCAGCCGGATTGGGATATGTTTCATGTAAGATAACAGAATTCACTTTTGTTGTTTTCTGTTGAATTGCGATGGCATTTTTTGAGTTTCTGGATGGTAATCTTGAACTTGTTTCTCATGTCAGAGCCTACACCCAATGGCGGAATACCACGGAGCAGCTCGTGCTGTGGGAGGATGTGCTATCTATGTCAGGTACTCTTAATTGTCACGAACCTATTCTGCTTCTTTCCCGGATGCCATTCAGATTCAAGATTTCTCATATTGGGTTTCTATGCATGCAGTGACAAGCCTGGACAACATGACTTTAATCTACTGAAGAAGCTTGTCCTTCCTGATGGTTCTATATTGAGGGCCAAACTTCCAGGAAGACCAACAAGGGATTGCTTGTTTTCTGACCCTGCCAGAGATGGTAAAAGGTAGTGAAGGAATTCACTTATCTGAAAAACATTTCTTAGGATCGGATAACATGATCCTACCCTATGTTTTGCTAAATATACGTTTGATCTTGCAGTCTCCTGAAAATATGGAACCTGAACGATTTTGGTGGAGTCATGGGAGTCTTCAACTGCCAGGGAGCTGGATGGTGCAGGGTTGAAAAGACAAACCTCATCCATGATGAAAAGCCTAGCACAGTCACTGGTTCTGTTAGGGCTAAAGATGTTGATTATCTCCCTAGAGTTGCTGGTGATGGATGGACAGGCGATACTGTATTGTATTCTCATGTTGGTGGTATGTGCATTCAATGCTAATATGTTCCTTTCATAAATCTAAATCTCATCTATGATATTGCCATTGTTTTGAACGAAATCGAGGTAATTTCCTCAACAAGTTTCTCCAATGTCAATTGCAGGAGAAGTGGTTTACCTTCCAAAGGATGCAACCATGCCACTTACATTGAAGTCTCGAGAATATGAAGTTTTCACAGTGGCTCCTGTAAAGGAGCTGTCCAATGGGGTTAAATTTGCCCCTATAGGTCTAACCAAGATGTTTAATTCAGGAGGGGCCATCAAAGAGCTGCAATATGACTCCTGCGCAGCTGCAATTGTCAGAATGAAAGCTCGTGGCTGCGGCTTGTTTGGAGCATATTCATCTGCTCAGCCTAAAAGAATAACAGTCGATTCCCAGGAAGTAGAGTTTGGTTATGAACAAGGAACTGGTTTGGTCACCATTGATTTGAGAGTTCCAGAAGAAGAGTTGTATCTTTGGGACATAACAGTAGAACTGTAGAGACAAGAAGATCTGTATTTGTAGTATTAGGGGCAATCAAAACTATTGTATTGTTTTGAGCCCATCGTTTCTTCATAGCTCCTGCATAAGGGGCTTCTCTGGATCTGTAGGATGCATTGAAAGGCTACTTGCCTTTGTATTTATCATTGCTGATGGTTTGGGAATACATCAGATAAAAGATCATCATTCCCCACCGCCACTCTCTTGTATATTTGTCCTTAGCAAGCGATTTACAAGGAAAATTTGAATAATCTGTTAAGCCAAAATTAAGAGAGCAAATAATTCATGTGCCATCCTAATATTGCATAAAAGATCATCATTTCATCCATGAATATTAATCATCTCTGATTCTATCTCATGAAATCAAACATGGAGATGAAGACAAGAAGGAAAAAGTGAAAAACATATCCTTTCTGCACAAATAATTTATCGTGAATAAAATAGTATGTATGGTTTAGATGTTTAAGGTCTTATGAACAGTTTTCGATCATAATTGATTAATCCACCCAATCAAAATTGAAATATCAATTTTTTTTTTTGGGAGATCGACCAAAAAAAAAAAAACAGAATATCAATTTGGTTTTTCTTTTTGTGAGTTTGATTAACTGAAAATAAAAACCGAAACTGAAAAGCCGCTGAGGTCAAGAGCATGCTGACCATTGAAAGTGAAGAGTTTTCAAGACTCAAGAGCCTGAACAGAACGAGGTTTTTTGCCTTCGGTGCAGGTCACATCATCTTTAATTATAGCAAGATCTAATAATACCACTGTTTTTCACTTTCCCAAAGTGAAAAACCTCAGTCCCTAAAACCCTCACATCAGCCACACGCGCAGAGATGGAGACAGAGAGGAAGATGTTTCAAAGCAGAGTGTTTGCTTCAATCTTGAAGAGAAACAGAGGAGTAGGATCCATCATCAGCGGTGCAATAACGAATCTCAAAGGAACAAAAACAACACATTTCAATCACTTGAGGGACATTCATCTGCAACAAAACCCATCATCAAGATCCTTCCTTTACGGCTTTCAAACCACTCTCCAAGGTAAGATAATCCTTCATTTCCATCTCTTTTTCATCTGGGTTTTCTCAAATGATCTGAAATCTATCAAAATTCCACGTTTTATCTCATAAAGTTTGATTCTTTGTGCTGTTTCAGGGTTATAACTATCAGTGTGTGCCATCGTCAATGAGGAAAATGTCAACTGTAGCTGCTTCTGCTAAGCCAAAATTAAGATAGCAAATCATTCATGTGCTATCCAAATCATTGCAATCCATGAATGCTAATCCTCTCTAATTCTATCTCATGAAATCAAACATGGAGATGCAGAGTAGAAGGAAAAAAATAAAACATTTCCTTTCTACACAAATAATTTATCGTGAATACAATAGTGGATACGGTTTATGTGTTTAAGGTCCAATCAGAAGGGCAGAGATGATTAGTATTCGGTCAAAATTAATTAACCGACGAAATCGAAATTGAGACATCAATTTGGTTTTTTTTTAGGAAAAAACGAAATTAAAACCAAAAAATCGAACACAAATTCGATATTTGATTTGAATTCGGTTTTTTAGTGAGTTTGGTTAACAAAAACCGAATTGAAAGATTAAAAATCAAAATAAAAAATCTGTTGACGTATATACCGTATAGGCTCAGCAAATAAAAACGGACCGGAGCATACTGACCGTTAAAAGTAAGGAGTTTTCCAGACTCAAGAGTCTGAACAGAACGACGTAGTTTGCTTTCTGTACAGGCCACGTCATCTTTAATTATAGCAAGCTCTAAAAATACCCGTTTTTCACTCTCTCAAAATGCAAAACCTCGGTCCCTAAAACCCTCACATCAGCCACACGCCCAGGGACAGAGAGAAAGATGTTTCATAGCAGAGTGTTTGCTTCAATCTTGAAGAAAAACAGAGGAGGAGGATCCATCATCAACGGTGCAATAACCAATTTCAAAGGAACAAAAACAACACCTTTGAATCACTTGAGAGACTTTCATCAACAACAAAACCCATCATCAAGATCCTTCCTTTATGGCTTCAGATCACTCTCCAAGGTAAGATAATCCTTCATTTCCATCTCTTTTTCATCTGGGTTTTCTGAAATGATCTGAAATCTATCAAAATTCCACGTTTCATCTCATAAAGTTTGATTCTTTGTGCTGTTTCAGGGTTATAACTATCAGTGTGTGCCATCGTCAATGAGGAAAATGTCAACTGTAGCTGCTTCTGTTGGCTGTGAAAGTCAAGAGGGTCTTAGGTTGCTTGTAAAGGGTGGACCTAAAGCTCAAAAAATGGTGGGTATATGGCTATTTGGCTCTGCTGCTTGGGTTTTTAGTATGGTGATTCTTGGCGGTGTTACAAGGTTAACAAGGTCTGGTCTTTCAATGACTGATTGGAAATTTTCTGGTGGGCTTCCTCCTTTATCAGACCAGGACTGGTTGCTCGAGTTTGAGAAGTATAAGCAATCACCTGAGTATAAAATGTAAGTACTAGCTACTAATGAAAGTGGTCATTTCTTGTTAGAGTGAATCATTCGAGTGAATTTTGATTTGGTTGTTTTTTCTGATATTTTGCAGTGTAAATAAAGGGATGAGTATTGAGGATTTCAAGTTCATTTACTGGATGGAATATGCGCATCGCATGTGGGGAAGGGGATTAGGGATCGTGTTTGCTTTGCCATTTTCATATTTTTTGCGAAAAGGGTATATAACAGTGAGACTTGGAGCTAAACTTTGTGGTCTTTTTGCTCTTGGTGCTGGGCAAGGTTTAATTGGTTGGTGGATGGTTAAAAGTGGTTTAGAGGTAATAAAGAACTTAACTTTTGTGGTAATTGAGTGCAAATTTATGCAAAATTGCGAGACTTATGAGTGACTTTGTTTTACTTAGGAGCCAGCATCCGAATATGCTCAACCTAGAGTTAGCCCTTACCGTCTGGCAGCTCATCTTACTTCGGCATTTGTTATCTATGGTGGGCTTTTGTGGACGGCTCTTTCTGTTGTAATGCCTGAACCTCCTGCTGAATCTTTAGCTTGGGTTCGTGGGGCGGCAAAAGTAAAGAGGCTTGCTCTCCCTGTAAGCCTTATTGTTGGCATTACTGCCGTCTCAGGAGCATTTGTTGCTGGAAATGATGCTGTATGTAGTCTATTTTAATTCTTTTCTTGTTCCTCTTTTTTGACAAGCATATCTTGTGCAGCCTGTGGTGTACAATTATAAACAAATGCTCTGGTGAATGTTTCGCCGTATGATGCAGGGGCATGCATTTAACACTTTCCCAATGATGGGTGATAAATGGATTCCTGATGATATATTCAATTTGAAGCCACTAATTCGCAACTTTTTTGAAAATACGTCGACAGTGCAGGTAATTTGTATGTGTAATGTAACAATTCTAGACGTGCAATTTACTTGATGATTGCATGAGTGCAAATTGCTAGTTTAGAGTTGCTCTATCATGTATGGGAATGGAATTAAACATAATATAATGGATAGAACAAAGAAGAAATGAGATTGGACATTACTTGCAATTTCTTTCTGAATGAGTGCGAACAAGGAGAGAAATCTAGAGTTTGTTCCTTATCTTTAGCTTTTGCAAATTTTCCAATTAAAAGGATCTTCTTGGAAAAGTTGCATGTAACTACAGTAGAACCCCTTGTTCATACAATTTCTTGTCGGGCCTCTAGATAGATAGTGCAATCGCTTGCTCAGAACAAGAAACAAGCCTTTATAACTGTCCTTTTGAGCTTAAAGAAACACTAATTCTTGCAGCTCTGTAAATTGCTTTAGGTTTACAGAAGACATTACAAAATTGTTATTTAGTACTTCAAATGGTATTTTCTTGTTCACTGGCATGTAAAAGATACTATAAAACAGTAGGTATTGAGCACTGATTTGTTTTCCTCGATGTTTGTAGCTTGACCACCGTATCCTTGCAATCACAAGCTTGATTTCTATTGGTGCTCTATGGTGGTTCTCTAAGAAGTTGGACATACATCCAGCTGTGAGATCTTTGATTGGAGCTACTGTTGGTATGGCTACTCTTCAGGTGATTGTCTTAATCCATGGATGCTCTTCCTTTCCATTATTAACTAGTTTTTCCAGGGGTTGATGGTCAAATGCATTCGTCACTGTTGCAGGTATCCTTGGGGATATCAACCCTTCTATCATATGTTCCTGTATCCCTCGGAACTGCACATCAGGCTGGGGCTTTAACACTACTGACACTTGTGATTCTGCTCAATCACACTGTGCGAAAGCCATCTGCATCTCTTCTCAAATCACTGCCTCAAGTAGTGAAGACACCCTTGTAAAGAGCCTAGAACTTTGCAAGGAGAATTAGGTTAGTTCAATCAAACACAGAAATTCTTTTACTGGACTCTTGATGTTGTTATAATTCATTCTGTAACATTCATGTTTAGGATCCATTCTTTGAGGGCAAAAAGTGGACTGCGTTCTTGTTTTGCTTGTATTAAGGAAGCATTAGGAACCATGCAAATACCATCATTTTGTATCAATTGAAATTTGAGTGGTTAACTAATTTGCTTTGTTGAATTAATTTGCACCTTGCTATTCTGGAGATCTTTGCCTCCACCTTTGGATGCATTCTTAAGTAATGTTCCTGAAAGAATCCAGTATGTGAATTTTCAGTATTCACTCGCTAAAAATTTTAGTTGCGGTGAACTTTTTAACTCTATTTTCGCAATCTTTACTTATAATATCATAATGACATTAAAAAAAAAAAAAATCATCCTTTGCTTCACATGACAAACGCTAGTCCCCTCTTGTCTGTGTTTCTTTCAATGGCATGCATGGATAGATACAGTCACTGGCATTGCTGCATTTGTTGGAACAATACGACATTCAAATTAGTGCCATTGCCATTGGATGGATAAGGAAGAAATTCTTAGGCTTGTATAGTCCAAAAGAGGCAGTGAACTACGTGTCTCTTGCAGACTGAAACACCTGCATGGGGAGCTCCCAAAAGCACCCACGAGTTAACACGTTAACACCACCTCACGGCTCTCTCTGTGTCTGAACTATTATATGTTGGGCAAGGGAGAAAGCCAGACCCATAGAGAAACCAACACTAAATGAAAAAGAGAAAGATACCAGAACCAGGAACATATTTATCAATGGCAGATCCTAGTCATCACCCAAAACAACAGCAGCTGCTCTCAACTGGTGGTCCTCACCAAGTCTCAGGCAGGTCGTGGTTATATGCATCAGTAGCTGGCTTGGCAACAGGCGGTCTACTTCTTTGCATGTCAGGTTTCAGTTTCTTGGCCTCCTTGACGCTGCTTTTAATAACTGCACCTCTCTTGTTGATCTTTAGCCCCTTAATATTTGGTGCTGCCCTTGTTCTTGCTGGTGCCACTGCTAGCTTTGGTGTGGCTACAATGGCGGGGCTTGCTGGAATTGTTATGATTGTCTGGATGGTCAGGTCAGTGTTTAGAGGGAGAGAAGATGGTATTGGTGAGAAAGTGCAGGAAAATGGCCAAGAATGGGCAGGGTATTTGCAACAGAAAGTGCAAGAGAACGTCCCTATTGAGAATAGTGTTGAAACAGGCTGATCTGTGACGTGTACGTGGGCTGTTCTGTTCTTTTTCGATCCTTGGTACTTTAGGGTTTTGGTGGTTTATGTGCATGAGTTGTTTTGTTTTGGTCTCTAATGAATTATGTTTCAAAAAGGTCTTCTTTTTTCCATGAAGTTTCCCTGTGAAACATGCATGATTGCTGGTTCATGTTGTTGGAATTGAGTGTTAATGGAATTGAACCCTAAGATTTGGACATGATGTTGGGCGTTCGTTGACCTAAATGCAACACTTTGGGCCTTTGCAACGTCGAAGAAGGCACAGTAGAAAGTCCTCCATTAATATTTGATCGATTAGGACAATTAGGTGTTAATCAACTTGGACATTATTGGTTTCTTCAAAAAGACTTTTGGTACTCAGAAAAAATAAAAAAATAATAAAAAGAATAAAAGATCAGCTAGTGTTTCATGCCATACACTGACTATTGATAATGACTCATTTTTTATTCTATTACTACTTTTTTAATTAATTAATTTCTCTTCTCTTGATAAATAATTCAATCCATCGTTATAGAGATTTCAATATATTTTTACGTTTTTAATTATATTTTTAAATAATATTTAAATTTTTATTTTATCTTTTTAATTAATTTTTTCGACTGTGAACATGTCGTTTGATTGAAATACTCTTTATTGAAATATTATTAGAACATATTTTATTAAAAAAAAACTATGGCATACATAATTACTATAATATACTTGCTTGTATATTCGAAAATACTGTGATTGTTAAAAGAAAAAAAAATTATGAATTTATTTTCCAAAGCTATAAGTCTTTATAGGTCAATTATGTTGAAGTTCAATCAATTAAATTGATGGAATTATTCGGTTGGAATGAAAAGTTTATGGACCTCACCGGTTTTTTCTTGGAAAACGGCTGTTTTCTCCATTTATTTTTCAGAGTTGAAAATCTGTTCTTTCGTGTAGACTAAATCGGCTATAAAAGCAAATATTCTTCCCTTGTTTGGATTCCTTTCTTTCAACCTTATCAGAGTTCTTCTTTCTGTCAAAAATACTTTTGACAATCATGTCAAGCTTAGGTTAAATGGTATGTTTGAAATTGTTTTTTCTTGACTTTTCAAGTTCGAATTTTGAAACTAATATTAAAAATGTTATTTTAAATATACCAATTAATAGAGAAATATAATCTTAAAATTATTTGGAAAAAATTATTTAATTTCAATTTACATACAAGTTAGATTCAAAAATATTCCTAACAAATTACTTGAAAAAATTTATTAAAATTATTCTAAAATGTGGAAGTTTACTCTTAAAATTGTACGGAAAGAAATTTAATTTGGATTAACGCGCAAGCAAGTTCAAAGATTTTCTTAGTGTATAATTAAAAAAAACACATATTCATCCGAGAAATTTTATAATATATAAGGAGTAACTAGTGACATATATAGTAGTTATTCCTTCGACTACTTTGAAGAGAGAAATAGACACACAAAAAGAGAAAGAGAAAAATAGAAAAGAGAAAATAAAAAATTTGAGCAGATGTAAAAATTTTTCTTATCACTTTTTATGAGTATGGATGTAATTTCTCTTTTTCTTATGTGTCTATCTCTCTCCTCAAAGTGAACCCAAAGGTATCAATATTATATATTGGTTGAAAAAATATAGAGTAAATTATAAATTAGTTTTTTTAAATTTTTTAGAAATAAATTAACTAATCCTTTAAAAACTTATTATTTAGTTCATTAATAATATTGATTATGTTTAATTTAATATTACTTTATTTTAAAAAACCATATTTTCTTAAAAATCTTTCCATTTTTTTCCTTACTTTTTTTATTTCTTAAAAAATTTAAAATAATTTAAAAAGAGCAAAAAAAATTTAAAAATAAAGAGATCAATAAATAAATAATTTTTAAAATAAGAAAATTAGTTAATTCATTTTTCCAAAGTAGAAAGATTAACTCATAATTTACTCGAAAAACATAGTAGTGGGAAATATAAAGGATAACCAACATGGAAGGGAAGGATTTAAATATATATATATATATAAAAAGGGTAGTCGTGTCTGTAACTAATTTATCAGCGTGCGAAACTTCCTAGAACCATCCTCAAGAAATAACAAGTAACAAACAATAATTGGCAGATCTTTTCAACTTGGAATTTTTTTTTACCCCTAATGAAAACAGAAAAAAACAGGTCTTGGGCTGCAGGTTTTACTCATGTGTTGTTGGTTCCATTGTCTCGTCTTAAATTAGCGAAAATCATTCTTTTTTTCCCCCCTCAATAAAACCAAAAGCCTAGCGAAGAAGACGGAAGATTCAATTGCTACAGCACCTCACAAAAATTTTATACATACCCCATTTTTTATTTTTGGTTTTTAATTATTGTTTTTTAGAGTAATTAATAGAAAAAAAGCTTTTTTTTTTGTTAGTGGGTTTTTATTTTCTTTTTCCTTCTCTTCTTCTTATTGCAGCTTTTCTGTAGTTTTTTTTTTTTTTTTTTTCACATCCTCCACAACCTCTGCAACTGTATATAAAGGTCTGTTCTTTTTCAGATCCCATTTTTTGTTATTTAATTTGGTTATTTGATGGGATTCTTGATCTGGGTTTTCATGGTTTTGCTTATGCATTGAACCCATGTGGCTATTTGTCATGGTTTTTGATGCTTTGCTTATGGGGCTATTGAGTTGTGTTGGTTTTGTGTGTTCCTTTTATTAGGTGGATTTCAATGCTTTGAATTAGGCCCTTTTATTTGGAAATTGGGTTGGAATTTGAAATAATGAAAATGAACCAACTTTGTCTTAAAGATTGGTTTTTGATGGCTTTTACGTTGGCAGGATAGGAATTTTAGCGTGTTTGTGGCAGTGTGCAACTGTGCATTGATGGGTAATGTTGTTTCTTGTGTTGTTGCATTTACTTGACTTGTGAATCCAGGACCCATTTCCTTTGAGGTTCACGAAACTACGGTGAGCACACACTATGCTGCCGGGCACATTCATGGATGCGGAAACATATCTATGTTTATAATAATTCAAGAACAGGGATCAAAAGTTAGAAATGGTAGGAATTCAATCCCAACTCGAAGTAAGTTGCTTGCTTGTTACTTTTCTTTTCATTACTATTACTATTTCTTAAAAAAAAAAAAAAAAACTATGTAAAATCCTTGTTTTGCTACTTTTCACTCTTGTATGGTCAATCTACTTATAATATCTAGATTCTTTATTGAAACTTTAGCTGCTAGACAATGCCCACTTCCATTTTGTTGCATGATTATGGAACAAGGAAATATAGGTTTGAAAGGTTTTAGTAGAAATACTAATGATTTCTTATCATAGTGGTCTTTATTGTAACAGATGGGATCGGTAGCTCCAGATGGGTCACCACATGAGTTTGAGGAGCAGAGTCTTTTTAGCCCAGAATCAGGGAATCGAAAGATGCAAGCTGGTCATATATCTGAATACGGATCAGTTCCTGGTGGTTTCCAACCTGGTGCTAGTAATATGTGGAAGAATGTTGTGTATAAGAGCTTAAAGACTGTAATTTTTTCAAATAAACTAAATGTGCTTATCCCTGTCGGGCCTCTTGCAATCCTCGTCCACATTTTAACTGGGCATAATGTAAGTTTGTAATTGTCTATATGTTGTTTTAGTTACCATGCCTTGTTGTTTAGCATGGTTCTTTAATCTTTTGAGGTTGGTTACAGGGATTGGTCTTCATTCTGAGTCTATTGGGGATAATACCTTTGGCCGAGCGTTTAGGTTATGCTACAGAGTAAGGATCAGACTTCTGCTTTTCGAGTTTTAGATGACTTTTTGGGTTTTAATCACCTAATATTGCTTCCTCTTTCCTCTGATGTAGGCAGCTGGCTATGTACACAGGACCTACAAGTATGGAATGTTTATAAGAACCAATGCCATTCAGTTTTTGCTTCTATCTATGATTTTTGTCATTGACTGATTTTTGTCTGAGCTCATCTCTGACATGCTGAAATTTATTTGCAGTTGGGGGTCTTCTAAATGCTACATTTGGAAATGCAACAGAACTCATCATAGCAATATACGCACTGAGAAATGGAATGATACGTGTTGTTCAACTATCATTATTAGGCTCAATTTTGTCAAACATGTTGCTGGTACTTGGATGTGCATTCTTCTGTGGTGGCCTTGTTTTTTATAGAAAGGAACAAGTTTTTAACAAGGTACATATATTAGCATTTTTTTCTTTCAAATGTTTATTTGGCTCTGTCCTGTCTCTTTCTTACCATGGCTGAACTAAGTTGGCATGCAGGCAACTGCTATTGTGAATTCAGGATTGCTGTTGATGGCGGTCATGGGGCTACTCTTTCCTGCTGTTCTGCACTATACACACACTGAGGTGCATTATGGGAAGTCAGAGTTGGCTCTTTCAAGATTTAGCAGTTGCATTATGCTTGGGGTTTATGCTGCGTATCTTTTTTTCCAATTGAAGACCCAAAAGGATCCATACATTCCTCTCTCTGAGGTTGATTATTTTTTTGTAGAATCAAGTGTCTGCTTATTTTTAGCATTTTGGGTGGTAGTTACCAGCGATGTGATAAATCATGTGAACTCAGGAAGGGAGTCAGGTTGGGGAGCACGATGACAACGACGATGACGAGACTCCAGAGATTTCTAAATGGGAATCAGTTCTTTGGCTTTCAATAATGACGGCTTGGATATCTATCCTATCGGAGTATTTAGTGGATGCCATAGAGGTAACTTTTTTCTGTTGGACATTTTCTCTTCTCATTTGATTATATGATCACCTTGATTTTTTTTTTCTTTTCATCATCTTGTGGGGATTTGTTGCTTTCTCAAGGACACAATTTTCACTTTTTTACGTATATTTATTTAGTATTAAGATAGAAATGGTGATCGAGAGCATCTACAGAGTACCACTTCAGTTTTCCATAGAATCAAAGTTTATTGATCACATTTTAGTGACTTTCTGCTGAACTTGTTTGGTGGGTGATTGCTTTGTAGGGAACATCTCATGCATGGAATATACCAATTTCTTTTATAGGGGTTATCTTGCTCCCAATTGTGGGGAATGCTGCAGAGCACGCCGGTGCTATTATGTTTGCTATGAAAGACAAGCTTGTAAGAAATTTCTCACTCTGCAATTTTTTCACACTATGCCTTCTCATTACTGTGAGTTTCTCTGCAGGATATATCATTGGGAGTTGCAATAGGTTCATCAACGCAAATATCTATGTTTGGAGTAAGTATTACAAGTCATTGAATGCATGATAAGGATTTGTTAGGTTACGTTCTCCCTCAGATTTACATGTTTTTTCCTGAATACTGATTGCATCAGTGTTCAGTAGATTCAGTCTTGATGACTAGAACTTGCATGTATTCAAATGTGATTTCCATGAAGTGCTGATTTTCTTTGATCTTTTGCAATGAGGAATCAGTGACTATTCCCAACTCCTGAATAACTCGGGAATTTGGTTAGAATGTCCTTTTAAGCAAATTACAACTAAGCATCAGTCGCAGACCAGTTTTCATCTTCCTTACCCTCCTCCTCATCACTCTTCCTCACCTGTGCATCTGTAGGTCTATGTTGGATATTGAACATAGCGAACCATGTTATATTAACCCATTTAACTAGCTTCAATAGGTGCCACGTGTTCAATACCTAGTTAGAAACTGTGCAATTTAAAGCTATAAGTTAGCACCAAATGTTCTGTTTCAGCAAATGCTGAAGATGAATTATATAATATCCTTTTTTTAACCTCGTCTAATGATAATGGGATGCCATTAATTTCTTGATTCATGCTTCATGGAAGCTGGAAATTCACTGCTAGTCACACTGAGAGCAGTTTGGAAATTCATGCATCAGGATGTAATTTTTTACAAGATTAGGCACTGGTTTATGAGAACAAACTTCTTCCTGCTCCTCTCTTATCTGGGAAAAAAAGGGAAGAATTTGGAAAACTAGACCAATAAGAGTTTTGGTTTTTACTGCAGCAGTGAACTGGTGATGCTGTAGACTTTCATGAATCATTTTTATTTCAAATATCTTTGTTTCTTTGTTGTATGATTAGAAGATTTTTATCTTGATGTGCATCTCATACATTAACTAGTGTGCTTGTTGTTATTTGTATCACATAAGATGATGTTTTTGGCATACTTCCTTCTAAGATCTTTATTGTTGTCATTGCTGCAGATTCCTTTTTGTGTGGTTGTTGGGTGGATAATGGGGCAGCCCATGGACTTGAACTTTCAACTTTTTGAGACTGCGACTCTTTTCATCACTGTCATTGTTGTGGCCTTCTTTCTGCAGGTTAGTATATCCGAGGTTTAGAGAAGAAAATAATATCAATATATACTAAAAAAGTAGAATATTATCAAGAATATGATTCTGAGACAGAAGGCAAAATGTGTTGGCATGTCTACTGAGGGGGCTTCGCTGTCTCTGTTATTTAGTTTGTCAGTCGTACAATAAATCTTCATGTTTTGTGTGGTTACTTTGCAAACCATTCCTCAAGTATTCATGTTATATTTGCAGGAAGGATCTTCAAATTACTTTAAAGGGTTGATGCTCATCCTTTGCTATGTAATTGTTGCTGCAAGTTTCTTTGTTCATGAAGATCCCCCTCCAGAAGGTCAGCTCTTGCAATCTCCTTTACTTTCTTTTCAATCAAATAACTTATCACCCGTTGAGCACTTGGGCTATACTCTTTGGTATTCTTGCCTGTTCTTTTCTTTTTCATTTTACTTATGACATGACCGTGAATGTGATTTTGCAGTCAAGCCGTAGCACCATAGTCATTGCGACAGGCGGTTTAAGAGGGTTGTTGTCACCAAGAGTTGGTCTATCGTAATCTGGTGTATATATATACACATTCCAAACAAATCTAATCTATTTCCGGCTTTCTGCTTGAGCTTGTTCATTTAATAGTATTAAGCAGGAATCTTGCCGATTTTTTGGTTCTTCCTCCAGCGTATGGTTTCTTCATATGCGGTCCGCATAGATGACAAGTTGAATTGTTTATATTGTAGAAATTTTTTAATGAATGTCTTTCCATTATTCCCAGTTGTTAATTTCAGTAGGGCAACTCAATGATACTGGTGATGCGCCCCTTTAAGAATGCCATAAATTCACAAGCCAGTTCTAAACTTGAAGCTTTTGGAGTTAAAACGACGAGGGTCCCTTTTTGGATTAATCACATAGTTAGTCCATGTAGTTTTTAGATTTTTTTAATGTGGTTTCTTTACTTTTTATTTATTTATTTATCAAATCCTACTATTTTGTATTTTTTTTTTTTAATATAGCCTCTCCGATGGGATCTGTCTAATTTTTTGGAGCAAAAACGTGTCATTTTACTAATCATTGGTGATTGGCAAAATTGATCTGAATTTTATCGGATTGGTTACATTAAAAAAAATCTAAAGTAGAGGGTTGTAATAAAAAAAAGAGAGAGGAGAGAGACTTACATTAAGAAAATGTGAAGAATGCAGGGATGAAATATGCTATTATCTATAACTGCATGGGTATGTCAACATGCCTCACTGAAGATTTTTAGGGAGCGTAACGAGTCGGATATAAAATGAGTATTCATTTTATTTAATCTAATAAATATTTATTTAAAATATTAAATATATAATAAAGTGAATAAAGATAAAAAATATTTATCTATTAATATTATTTCAGTATATAGGAATTCATTCTTTATTTTATTAATACTCATTAATGTCTTTTGATTTTTTTAATTAACATATAAGAATTTAATTACATAAACTTTAAAAATTAAGAACTAAAATATTTTTTTAAAAAATTTAAGGATAAAAAAAATTACAAATAAAAGATCAAAATGCAAAAAAAAATATAAAATTTGAGGATCAATTTTTTTGAAAATTAGAGAGTAAAATGAATATTTATGATAAATTATTTTTAACAGGTATTAAATAAGTATTAAATGGATAAGTAAATTAACATGAGTTGAATAGAGATTTATATAATTACTTTTTAACGAGTGATAATTTTTTGTGCATAGAATAAAAAATTGAAATAATGGGTCTGGCATCCTTGTATTGCCATCGCTACGCGCCGTTGCAACTGCTACAACGAAGACTTGTAGTTGGCTAGTTTGTCTGAAATTTAGGTGGTTTTCAAGTACCAGTCAAACGTTGAAGGTTTAATCTTAAGCATAGACTTTTAGTTGGTTGGATATTTTGTTGGAATTTTGAGCTTGTTTTGAAAGTTCAATTTGGAAATCTCACTCTGGATACGATCTGTTATCTTGGCGAGAATCTAATTAAAGTACTTTCTCAAAATGGGTTGTGCCTGAATTCTTTCGTCAAAAAGCAGTAAGATGCCTGCAGCTGTAAAAACACAGAGGGCAAGAAGAAACTTGATGAAAACAGCAACATTTTACAGTGTTTTCCATGCAATCTTAGGCCTTCGTCAAGACTTTGGAATTGAAGATTCACCAAATGGGAATCACATTCAACTAACTAACTCAACTTGCAGATCATTTTCCAATCACTTACACCAAAATGTCACAGAGAAGCGTGCAAGCAAAAACTACATGTGACTTCTTTTCTGCTAAGTTACATCAAGATGAACATCTAAAAAGTCAATAGGCAGCTATGCAAAACAGAAGTTATGCAAGAGAAAACGATGTCATTACCGACAAAATTCATGTTTGGTGAAGTGATTTAGTTGTTTTTGAAAAAAATGCAGCCGACTGAAAAAGTATTAGTTTGATTATTTTCGATGGTTTTGTTATTTTCGTATCAAAATCATTCAAAAGCACTTCGTTCAAGCATATTTTGAAAAACACATTTAAACCTATATAAAAAAGGTATTAATTTAATGCTTTCGATGGTTTTGTTATCTTGCTGGCTATCAAAATCATTTAAAAACACTTCGTTCAAGCATATTTTGTAAAACACATTTAAACATATATCAAACAAGTATTAATTTAATGTTTTTGATGGTTTTTTTTATGTTCGTATCAATTAGATGTTTTTTTTTATTTTTTAGTTTTTTTAATTAAGATTTTGACATTTTCGTATCAAAATCATTTAAAAGTACTGTCTCCAAATATATTTTGAGAAAAAACCCTTTCAAATCTATCTCAAAAATTTTAAAAAACTTTCAAACCCATCTTAAAAAAAAGTATTAATTTGATGATTCTCAATTGTTTTGTCAACTTCATATCAAAATCGTTTAAAAAAACTTCGTCTAAGCATACTTTGAAAAGCACTAGCTTTCAGACGCAATCCAAACGAACTCTCATACGTAAGCTTACTAGTCATGACAAGATCATGTATCCATTAAGCTAAGGACATGCAAGTATCTAGTTGATGCGACAGTTCTTCACATTTCATGCTTTTTTCGAGACAGACTATAAAAGAAGGCAAAGCTGAACTCTTGTTTGGTTCTTTTCATGAGAAGTGTGGTTCTATAAATTTGGCAATTCATTTCCTATGGGTGATGCAGCAGAAGATTTGCCATTACTTGGAAGCTTTTCTTCAGCTGATGGCGAACCAGAACAGTCTATCAAAAGAACTGGTAATTAACTTAGTGACCTTTTCATGTGCACTTTTCACACTTCTTCTTACAAAATATTGTGATTTGTAAGAAAGATCGTAAACATGGTCTGAAATATTCTGCTCTAGGATTTAGCTTCTTTTGTCAATGATTTTCACCATCTCAGTCCCAAGAATCTGAAAAACCTTTTCATGTGCAGTTTTCACACTTCTTCTTACAGAACTTTGTGATTTGTAAGAAAGATCATAGAAATGGTCTGAAATATTCTTTTGTCAATGATTTTCCTCCATAATCTTAGTCCGAAGAATCTGGAAGAAAGAAAAGTTTCGTACAGTTTTTTTTTCATGGATTGTGTGGGAGGTAGGTTTGATTGGTAGTTGAAATCGTGCAAAAAGAAATTATATAGTTAGAAAAAACGCCGTTGCCGGGGATCGAACCCGGGTCACCCGCGTGACAGGCGGGAATACTCACCACTATACTACAACGACCTTGTTGGGATGCTCGTTTCATTTTAATATTAAATATATTAATTATGTATATTAACAAATATCAAATTCTTCTTGGAAATTTCTGCTAAGGATTTGGGATATAATACCCTATATTGATTCTAGATTCCATTCCACATCATTTTAGTTCTATAAAAATAGTTAATGTTAGAGATCCATGTCGATTTTATCGATTATTTTTCATTTTCGGAACGAGTGAATTTTATTTTCGAAATGTGATTTCGTGAGGAATCTTTAAAACTGGAATTGTTCTTGTTGTTGTTTCTGTGTAAATTAGTCTATAAGATGCAATCATTTGAATATTTCACTGCAAAAAATTAACAATTTCATGTCACATTTGCTTCCTGTTCAATTCCATTAAGTTGTAATGACATTAAAACAACTTCCCTTCCTCACTGGGCTAAATTTGTATTTTGAACATGTGAAGGAACCGTATGGACTGCAACAGCGCATGTTATTACAGGAGTGATAGGAGCAGGAGTATTGTCTCTAGCATGGAGCATAGCTCAACTAGGGTGGATTGCAGGTCCTTTATGCATGATAGTTTTTGCAGCTATCACCCTTCTTTCCACAAGCCTCCTTTGTGACTGCTATAGATTTCCTGATCCTGAACATGGCTCCATCAGAAACAGGTCCTACATGGAAGCTGTGAGGTTGTATTTGGGTGAGTGTATATATATATATATATATATCTATACATATTTGTTCCATCCATAAACATGTAAGAATCCCCCTGACCATTAAAAGTTACAACAAGAAAAAGCATGTGTTCCATTTATAATTTCTGTTGTACTATGTTGAATATGATACAAAATCCTGTGTGCTCAAACTGTTTACTGTTTATTTTCTTCTAATGAAGTAGTAAAGTTCAGAATTCTGACAAAATTGACAACTCAAATTCAGGGGAGAGAAGCCAAATAGTGTGTGGAATATTTGCAGAGGAGAGCTTATATGGGAGTGGAATTGCGTATACCATTACTTCTGCTAGTAGCATAAGGTGTGAGACTTCAACCCTTCTCTGCTTTCTTCCTAATTTTCTATAATTTATGGACTTGTTTGAGAAATTGATAATCATGCATGCAGCCAAGATTTTGAGTGTGGTCTATGCTTGATTGAAGCTAAATATTTGAGTTAAAAACAAGAATTTTGTTTAGTCTTGTCCTTCCAACTCTTTCTAGTTTTTGCCAAGTGTCTGCCACTCTTCGTGATTCTACAGGTTTTTTCTTTCTTTTCCTTTCCCTGGTGAACTTAATCTTAGTGGGCTATTTGTTTGCTAGCTTCATGATAGGTGACGTATTATGCTCATTATCTTGCAATTGTTTTTTTTTTTTTTGGTGAAAGCATCTTGAGGAAGAATTTGCATACCCAAAAACAGATTTGCTCATCTTTGTCTCAGTGTTTTGATGTTCCTTCGGATTGAGAGGCCCAGTTGGATGTTCTTAATATCAGTGAGTGCAACTAAATATAAAACTTACTTGCTTTAAGCATTTTAATCACTACATGTCTAAAAAGTTCTGAACTTTCAGAGAAAATCCTGCGTTAGCAAAGTGAGATCTGATGATTGAGCAGCCAAGATGCCATTTTTTTTTTTTGGTATCTGTTTTAATGCACCTTTTGATCGGTCCAGTCCAACTTTAAGACGGACCATGAAAAGTTGCTTTTCATGTAGGGGGCCATTATATTTTCTGAGCCTGTCATATGCTATCTTTTGTTGGTCGTTCTGTCAATGCCAAGTCTCTTTAATTTCGTAGATCCAATAGGAAAAAAACAAGGTGAAAGTGGAAGAAGTTTCTGTTTTTCTCACCAGGAATGCAATTTCTTCTCTGTGGGACAAACAAATGGAAAATTTCAAAAGCATAAGCCTTTGGGAATAGTAAATTTTTTCTCTTTTTCCATGATGGTTGGTAGAGATGCACACCAGGGAATGGGAAGGCAATCATATCGATTTCAAACTTAGTGGAACTATAGCTGGGTTTACCATATTTCTCAAGGATAATGCTATCTCACAAAAGAGATAAAAAAAAGGCAACAAAAAGAAGAAGAATTCTTCAGTGACTACCAAAGTAATAAAGCTACACAGAATCTTTAGAAAATATCAACCTAATGGCCAATGATACCACTCTGAGCAAGCCAGGTTCCTCTGCTTTTATGAAGCAGTCCTTTCAAGGACCATGGTAGAAGATGCTTTGATGGCATTTTTAGGACATCCAAAACCAAGCATAAAAAGCAAGACTTCTACAAGTCTTCTCTCCTTTTCCTTTTTCTTTTTGGAACTTCTGATGCAGCCATAAATATCTTCCTCCTGGAATGGTGAATTTTCACTATCAAAATAAAAAGTAAAATGCAGCCATAACCATCTATTTCTGTACTGATATAAGAAGTAAACGAAGAAAAAACATGAAAAGAAGACAGATGGGTAATGATTGATCAGGGTGCATGCGTTCTACTCATAGTTGTAAGCATGTAAGCAAGTATCTATGGCCATAAAATCTTTTGGCATATCTTAACCGAGGAGTATGGTCAGGATTTGTAACCTTTAAAAATCCTACAACTTGCTCTTCACTATTTACCCGTCTATGCATGTGTTATCTTTCTGCTCTTACCGTGTCATTTATGTTGCCGTCATTAGGGCAGTGAACCTAAATATGCAACGAAAAAATTGGAAACTCCTCTAAAAGGAGAAATAACCAACATTTTCATGGTTAGAAAATTTAATTTCTCGTATGCTATCATTGTAATAGGTGATTTTCTGGACAACTGTGATCAGAATCATGCTTCCTACCAAGTATTAATTATGACATGCGAAGATTCGTACAATCAATTTTGATGTTTCTTCAGTTTCTAGTTGAACTATTGATTCATGATTGCATGGTGATTGGAAGAGGAAAAATCCAAATGAAACATTCTAGGAAAGTTGGCTGTGATGGAACAAGCACCAAAACTTATAGGTGTTGATAACCATTTTGTGATGAAAGAAGAAAGGGCTTTTAGTGGCTACTGGGAATGGCAGCTTTTCTTTCAAACATGAAAAGAAATGAACAGTTACTTTCATTGATTTGTCCTAGTAGTAGACTGGCCACCCACCCCTTTGGTCCTGTATGGATATACTGTTAAAACCATACAAAAGTAGTATAAAGTTGGATGGGAAGTAAATAAAGCAGGCAATGAATATGCCAACATGAAGATGACTGCCAATTGCATTGCATTATTGCGAGCTGCGAGCTGTCGTGTTATCCTTCCAAATCCTTATAAATGTTTCCCTCCAGAAGTTCTTGGGTGCAAAGAAGCTAGAGTATAGCTTTAAAATATTCCCCAATCGAGGCAAGAGCACGTCATGGTTTTCATCTTTGCTTTTCTTTCACATATTAGCTAACTGCTAACTTGGTGCAATTATCAACTTGGTAGGATCTGAGGGATATTAGAAGTCAAACCTTGTTGCTTGACTCATTCAAACTAAAATCATCTCATTACTGTTAATATTACTCACACAAACTTCTTCATTTAGCTGAGATCACGTTGCACCTTCGATAAAAGTTGCTGTTCTCTTTCTTGGTTTTACTTCGATAAGTTGGTACCTGTAAGGCATTTCCTGCTTCTTAATATAGCTGCACTCTTCCTCCACAAAGAATCCAGCGTAGGATTTTCTTATCTAATGTTATTGTTGTAGAAATGCTAGCAGTGAAGTGAAAGGAAAACTTAATTAGGTTCCGAAGGATGGATGTGAACAAAAATATCAAACCTTTTCTCTCCGGATATTGTGTATCTGCATTCATTCATGTATCTGGTTGTCCTGTTCTGTTCCGAAGTAGTTAAGAGTACTTAGGCCCTTTATTTCGGCTATCCAGGTTGTAGAAAACTTCTAGTGAACATAATTTTCTGCGGTGAATTGAATTATTATGGCAGTCGAACATCCTCTTGAACTGGCAAATGGTTGCTGTGATGATGACGGGCATCCATTAAGGACTGGTAAAGAAATTTACAAACACCAGTTTACGTATTTAAAGTTTACTGCGTTTTTTTGCTATTCAATCTTGAATTTGGTGCCTCTGGGAAACTCAACCAGGAACCGTATGGAGTTGCGTTGCTCATATTATTACTGCTGTTATCGGCTCTGGAGTTCTTTCCTTGGCTTGGAGTACAGCACAGCTTGGATGGATAGCAGGGCCAGTGTCTTTGCTTTGCTTTGCGATTGTCACCTATGTTTCTTCCTTCCTCCTTTCTGATTGCTATAGGTCCCCTGACGGAACAAGAAACTACTCTTACATGCATGCTGTTAGAGTAAATCTTGGTAGTTTAACACCTGCCCTTTACCTTTGAACTTGTCCCGTAAATCCATGTATACTATTAAGTCAGGATATGCCTTATATGCTTCCTAATTTGATGTAGTGCTAGTTCAGGTAAAACACAGACATGGTTTTGTGGTTTGCTTCAATATCTGAGCATGTATGGGACTGGTGTTGCTTATGTTGTTACTACCTCAACTAGCATGAGGTACTTCCTCGCTGAATTCTGTGATTTGCGCCTATTTACATCCCTTGTGTTTGAGACTGTTTTGGATTAATGCCCTTGCAAGATTAAGAGCATCACCTGTATTTTGTTTAGTGCTTTTCCTATCTTTTCTTCCGTGTGGATTGCTAGTTCATTTTATGTTTTAGTCTTTTAGATAAGGGTACTTGTGCATGATTAATATATGGTTTTTTTTTTTTTTTAATATTTTATTTATGTAGCGCAATTCAAAGATCAAACTGTTATCATAGAGAAGGGCATAAAGCTTCATGTTCATATGGGGATACTATCTATATGCTGCTATTCGGAGTTGTTCAGATAGTAATGTCACAGATACCAGATTTTCATAATATGGGATGGCTCTCGGTAATTGCAGCAATCATGTCCTTTACCTACTCTTTTATTGGATTTGGACTTGGTGTTGGAAAAGTAATAGGTATTGCTGCTAATCTGGCCAGTTCTTCTTTCCTGTTTATATACATCATGCTCTGCTAGAAAAGCCAATCTTTTCAGCCAACTTACAGCAAGCAGCTTTGTTCCGTTCATTTAAAGCTGAATTCTTACTATTGTGTTTCTAAGGTTGTGCATTGAAAAGAACAGAAATCTGAACTTATAGAGTTCGGAATTTTTCAGACCTGAGAGATTAGGGGCTCTCCTCGGATCATCCTTTGGGAGAAGCAGCTATTTTATCTCTAAAACTTTACTTGTGAAATTGCAGAAAACGGGAGGATCAAGGGGAGCATTAGTGGAGTCCCAGCTGCCACTGCTGCCGATAAGTTATGGGTAGCCTTTGAAGCACTAGGAGACATTGCTTTCGCTTATCCATATGCGATCATTCTGCTTGAGATACAGGTTTGGCTTCTATGCTTTCTGAAATTCAGTTTGGTTGTAGCAACTTATGTTCTTCAGTAGAAATTAATAACAAATTTTGGGGTCCGAAGTGAATTAAGAAATTTTTGGATGAAGGATACTTTGAAGTCACCTCCAGCAGAGAACAAGAGCATGAAGAAGGCCTCAATGATTTCAATCTTTATCACAACTTTCTTTTACCTATGTTGTGGGTGCTTCGGATATGCAGCTTTCGGCAACGACACACCTGGAAATCTCTTGACAGGGTTTGGGTTCTTCGAGCCCTATTGGCTCGTTGATTTGGCAAATGCTTGCATTGTTCTTCATTTGGTGGGAGGATATCAGGTACTAATTTTGCATTCGAAAATCTTTAGTTCCTTATCTTGTCAAGTGTTGTTTATGCCTAAGATGTTCAATTTCTTCACATTTCTACATGCAGAAATCTTTTTTTTTTCTGCCATAAAGTAGCTTGCTCCAAAAATTTGAGAAATCTATGAATTTTGATAAAAGTGATTAGTCTTGCTCATGGTTTATGTATTTTCATGTGTTCAATTCCCAGATATACAGTCAGCCTGTGTTTGCATTTGTGGAAGGTTGGTTCAGTAGGAAATTTCCAAGCAGTGGGTTTGTGAATAACTTTCACACCTTCAAACTTCCATTATTTCCTCGTCTCCAAGTCAATCTATTCAGGCTATGTTTCCGAACTGTGTACGTTGCATCAACTACTGCTATTGCAATGGTCTTCCCTTACTTCAACCAAGTTTTGGGAGTGCTTGGAGCCTTGAACTTTTGGCCTTTGGCTATATATTTTCCTGTGGAAATGTACTTTGTGCAGAAGAAAGTAGGTGCTTGGACAAGAAAATGGATTCTTCTTAGAACATTTAGCTTTTTTTGCTTGCTTGTAACAATAGCAGGCTTAATTGGGTCAATTGATGGACTTATAACTGCTAAACTTGGCTGAGAGACTGCTGTTACCGAGTTCTTTCTGCCAATTGACTACATTAATCAGATGTTGTGCGCGTTGGAAGATGAGATTATTATGCCTCATGTTTTTCTCTCTTGTTCTAATATTAGGATAGAGATTTCTTGCTTGCTAGAAGGAAACTAAAATTTCCAGAAAATTAATATTGAGAAGAATGCAGCTTCATGGAAAGTTGTTGAAGACTGCAAACTAGTGGAATCCTCTCATGCAACCTATGATACCATGTTATCGACACAGTAGAAGAATTTAAGCCCTAAAACCTCATCATTAATTAGCTTGGACTAAATAGAAAACCTGAAACATCATATCCAAGCTTCTGAATTGAAATATTGAATCTGTGAGAAAACCTGCACCATCATTTGAAAACCCATAAAAACACCAGACAATCTTTTGGTTGCGAATCTTAATTTTGATAAAAATATGTATCCATATTCCATACACAAAGCATGGTATATAACCAATGGCAATACAAAAGGAGAACTGCAACAGAGAAATGAATAGAGGTTCCTCTCTTTGATCCATGGTAAATGAAAAATAGTCCAAAGCATCTACTCACTCTGCCATTCTATTCTTCCAAGAAGCAGCTTCAAGGGATGGGATGCTTTGTTCATACCTAAAGAAATTACCAGGATCCACCCTGGTCTTTACTTGCACCAACCTGTCAAAATTGCCTTTGAAATACTTCATACCCCAACTACTAGCTTGCTCATAACTAGCATTGCCAATTTCGTTGACCCCCAGATCAACATCTCTATAATTTAGATATGAACATCTAGGTGATTTTGACACAAAAGGAGTCATATAATCATAAAGCTTTCTGATAAGATCCAAATTGCGTTCCACAGCTTCAACACCTTCTTCTTTCCAAGTTGCTGCATACTGGATTTTGTAAATGTTCCCTGCTCTATGTGGAAATGGAGTGTCAAGTTCTGAGACTTCACTCATCCTTCCTCCATAAGGATTGAATGTAAATACCGGCTTTTGCAGTTGGATCATTGTCTTCCATATTCCTTCAAGATCAGTCTTTGAAATAGGCTCTTGCACATAGTCCGATTTCCTCTTCAAGTACTTCTCTTTTGTTGAATGTCTCTGAAGCAAAACATCTGTAGATGTACCAATTTGATAATTAGACCAAAACAATACCGACTCGATCCAGCTCATCTCCTTGCAATCCTTATACAATAAACCCAATTCAGGAAACTTGTCATCCATTAGAGAAACAAGTCTTTGTGCATTTCCAAGGAACAAAGCATTGAATTTGGCTTTGATTGTCCCTTTCCCCTTCCTAGTGACTGGATTCAAGACCACCCTTATAAAGAGATCTTCATCTATTTTATGAGCAACATGTTGCCACTGATACACAATATCTGATGCACCTTCTTCCAATGTCCTTTCAACTCTAAAAACAGTGACAACTTCCGGGACTTGAACTAGCTTAATTTTCCATGAAACAATAATTCCAAAACTAGCTCCACCACCTCCTCTAATAGCCCAGAAAAGATCCTCCCCCATCGCTTCTCTATCCAAAACATTACCATTAGCATCAACTACTACTGTATCAACAATATTATCAACAGACAAACCATGTTTCCTCATCAAGTTACCATATCCACCTCCACTTAAATGGCCTCCAACACCAACTGTAGGACAAACTCCGGCAGGGTAGCCATAAATCTTGCTCTTTTCAGCAATTCTATAATAAACTTCTCCTAGTGTAGCTCCTGATTCCACCCAAGCACTTTCATCTTCTATGTCAACACTAATTGACCTCATATTGAACAAATCAACCATGATAAATGGTACACTTGACACATAAGAAAGACCATCATAGTCATGGCCTCCACTGCGGATTCTGACTTCAAAACCATGAATCTTGGAACAAATAATTGATGCTCGGATGTGAGAAACATGGGTGGGGGCTACAATGAACAAAGGTTTTGGGGTTGTAGGAGATGTGAAGACGAGGTTTCTTATGTAAGACTTCAAAACAGATGTGTAGTTCGGATGGTTGGGGAAATATGTGATTTCAGAGATTGGTGGGGAGTTCAAGGAATGAGTAGAAAGGCATTGGAGACAGGTTTCTTGGATTGGATCTAAAGTTGCCATTGAAATATAAAACAGAAATACTGTGAGTATTGAAGAGACAAGACTTCTCATTACCTTACGTGATGTGATGCTCCTTTTTGTCTGGTCTTCAATGCAAAGATGAGCTTTATACAGTTGAAGTTTCTTTACCGTTATATATTACTAGTCTGCATTTTCTTGCTTGTGTTGCTCATTTTTCAATGCTTCTAAGAAACGCTATTAAGGATACAGTTGGGAAGCTTCCGTTGACTCTTGTCCTAGCCTCAGTTTTTTTAGGGGATAGTTGAAGTATATCAACTTTTCATATTTTTTCAATCCAGTATATAAATTATAACTTTTTTCATTTAAGTACATCATTTTTTTTTTAAAATTATCAATAAAGTATTTCATGTCCAACTTCTGTCAATTGCTTCGTTATTTATGATTTGTAATTTGTCCTGATCAATTCCTTCTTTATTTATGATATGTAATTTATCCTAAACTATTAAATTACGATTTTAAAATTTAATTCTTCAAGAAAACTTTTCTTTCCAAATTATATTGACATTTTTTATATTTTATATAGTAACTATTCAAAATGTTCTTATATCAGAAAAATAGAAGAGAGCAAAATAATGTGAAAGGAAATGTTTTTTCTAAGAATAAAAAGTAAAAAATCGTAATTTAATAGTTTAAGACAAAATACATATTAAATAATGGAGCAATTGATAAAAGTTGGGTAAAAAATTTTTGATTGTATAGTAAAATTCATATACTCAATTGAAAAAGTTATTAAAATTAGTAAAATTATAGTACTATTATGTCATTTTATTGTTTAATTTTTTGTTCGTGCAAGGGTCCTAATTTCGATATCTCTCATCAATTATGATCCACATGCCATATGGGTCAATAATCATCTCACATTGATTGAAGGGTAATATGGGCCCATGTGTAATCAAACTTTGGACTTGATGTTAAAGCCCATAATATATCTTATACGTTAATGTTGGGCCTAAAATCAGAAGATTGAGAACTACTATCAACGATTGAAGACATCTGAAATTCTTAACCTGAAATTTCTTCCAAGCAAAGAGCTAAAAACTGATTGTTTTACCAACCTATCCAGAAGCAGATTCCATTGAAGATGAAGCGTACCAAGCAAGATGAAAGAAGTGTAATCAGAGCAATATTTGGATTGCTGAATATCAATATAGAAGGTGATAATGAATCATCCTAGGCTCCATGACCGACTAGAGAAGAAATAGCTAGCCCCCCAGAAACTTTGCATGTCAGAAGAAAAATGGAGAAAAATAGAGACTTCATTTCAGCTGGGTGTGATTTGCTTGTCCTTGGTCGATTGCTTCTTTGTCTAATGCTGCTTCTATTGATCAGGTTTCTAGTTTTCTATAGTTTCTAGGATAGTTTAATCTTCTGATGAAATTCCATTTTCTTTTCATAATGTTGTTTGGCTTTTCTTGCTTCTTATGCAGATTTATATCTGCTTTTGTTCTTCTGGCTCCAAGTAACTGGTTTTTTTGTCTCCTTGCTGAACCTGATTCACCCACCAGGAACTTTTTATGTGCATAAATTTCCAAGGCTTTCTTAATCGCAACTAATTCAGCAAGATTGGAGTTCTTCTCTTCCACATACATAGCAATAGATTGTCAAATTTCCAGTGTTTTAAATTATACTGGAAAAAGATTATCAAATCCAAAACCAAGAAGAAATGACATAATTTCAAGTCTATATTCCTGGAAGAATGCATATTATTATGTTAATAGGAATCCACCACTACAAGACTTGATAAGTTGCAGGAAGATGTTACGATTCATCAAAAGATCATACCAGTTGGTTGAAGATCAATTATTACATAGAGATTCAATCATATGAAAGTAAACCCAATACAATATAACAAATAACAATAACTGTAACACCGAAAACAAGTTTCACTACTTAAAATAATCACAAAAGTATAATCACACACCCATATATTTATTGATAACCACTCCAGAGTAATCACCATTTCAAGAGTAGGTTGATAGAATTCTTGGAGCCATGCACACATTCATGGTAATCATCAAGAAAGGCTAGCTAACAAGGTAAATAAATAAGATCATGTATTAGAATTTTTTTTTTTATAAGTAACAAAAGCATTAGAATGAATAATACAACATGAATTGAGGAAACAATAATATATAAATAATCGACATAATTACCTATCACAAAGAATGAGTACTACTGTAAGAGCCAGAGAATGATAGAAAGGAAAGAATAAAATATTCAGGGACTAAAGCAAAAACAAATGAATAGTTAAAGATTAAGTCTTTGTTGATCAATAGGTTAAGGTAATTTTAGACCATTTAGCCAAATCAACTATCACTCCCACTTTCAAATCCTACCAAAACACCCATTATGTCTGCTTCCACTAGGATATATATATATATATATACACACACGATCCTTACATCTTAAAAATTTGATCAAACAAAGCCTTCGTAATGTAATTTGATCAAATTAAATCTACTTTCTAAAAGGTATAAATTAAATGATGCTACAGCCCTATATATATATATATGTACCATTAGACATATGAAAAATATAATATACCTAAAATATTTGATTCATTGACTTGATTCTCACTGATTGTTATGGACTCATAATTGTTGCATGATTAGCTTGCTATTAAAACTAATCTCAGTGTGTTCAGTGCGTTTCTCACAACAGATTTAAAACTAGCTTAGTACCATGAAGAGAGAAATACATACACATCACATCAATTATTGCAAGAAAATTTCAACCAAGTAAAAACAATATGTCACAGCAATAATAACAACTCTGACAATCATGATCATAAGGTAGCTAGAACGATGCATCGAACATTTATATTAGGAATGATATTGCTATAAGAAACCAAATTATCCTAATGGATAGAATAACGAAGGAGAAACATGCTTACATATTAGTCGGTGCATTTAGAGTTGGCCCCTCTCCATCAAATTTCCCTATTACCAAAAAAAAAAAAAAAAAAAAGAAAGAAAGAAGGTTAAGAGTGAATAGAAGAGAAAAGAAACAAAGGTTTTTATTAAGCATTAACCAAGAAACGAGAATTTATTTATTTATTTATTTTTGTAAGGACGATAAATGAGAATATTTCAAGAGCTAAAGAATTTATAACTTCATGAAAAGCAATGTCACAAGAAGGTACATTCATCAAAAAGAAAAAAAAAGTGATAATTAAAAATCAAAATTGTAGTAGGCAAGTTTATGGAAAAAATTTTAAAATTAATTTGGCTATTAAGAATTAGAATAACTCATTCTTCTTCTTCAATAATAATAATAATAATAAATTTATTGTTTGTATTCATTGTAGTAAATAATTTAGGACGATTAATAGAATTGATCAATTGCTTTTAATTAGATGATGGAAGTTATCAAGCATTTAGTTAGTACCTTTTAAAAACTTTAACAAATAAAGCTTTTCAATTCCTTAATCATAAATTCAAAATAACATTCCAAAATGATAAATAAAAACGCAATAATCTAATCCCACATACTTGTAGAAAACACAAGTATATACTAAATAAAACAAAAGAAAAAAAAACACTTACAGATTGAGCAATTTATAAGATTTTTTTTTTTTTTGAAGGTAAAAAAATATGGTCAATTTATCATTATTTCTTAGTGCAAACCATACTGCATATTTCATAGCACATGTGACTTTGACATTCATAAAATATATAAAAATTTGAAAATTAAATCAAGCAAGTGTATAACTTTTTAAAAACACAAATCTAGTTATATGAAATTAGAAAATTTTTTTTTCACAAAGGTTGAAGTAGCAACAATTATTGTAAAACTATCACTCAATTTTGCATTTTGAAAATAAATAGTGTGTACCATCTTAAGTATCGCTTCAACCATGTTGCATAAGATCTTTGATCATCAGGGTCGTATGTACCATCATATTGGAGAAATGGTACATGCTTCACTTTCCAGTAGTCTTCCCCTTCTTCACGAGACAACCTTTGTGTGAACTCATTTGACATCCCAGCAAAATATAGCTCTTTGAGGTGTTTCAAGTGTTGAATTCCAGAAGGTACCTCCTTCAATTGTGGGCAAGGTCCTATATACAACGTTTCAAGAAGAGGCATTGCTCCTTTGTCAATTGTCATCGTTTTCAACTCATTCGACCCTGTAAGACCTAACAGCTTGAGTTTTTGAAACCCTCCTTCAAAGCAGATCTTTTCTCCATTGTATCCAAAAGCTAGCCCAAGAATTTTTAAATTAGGCAAAGCTTGGACAACTTTTATCGGATCATCCTTCAATCTTGAATACCACAAAACCAATTGAACTAGATTTTGTAGTTTGGAAACCCAATCAGGGAACCTTTCTAACTGTCCCCCAAGTGCGAGAGTTTGAAGGTGAGAAGGAGGAGAAGACATAGATTGCACTTCAAGAATCTCATCACTATTGATTGCGCTAACAGATAGTGACCGCAGTTGAGTCATACTCTCCAATGCAGTGCACAAATCCCTTCCATATTCACTTTTCAAACTTTTAATCCCTAATTTTCTCAATTGCTTCAACTTTCCTAACTCATTAATTAATCTAACACCTTGATCATCATCTAATCTAATTCTATGTAGTGTTTGCAAGAACTCTAAATGCCTAATGCTGCCATGTATCTTCAACGCATGACTAATTAAAAGATATCGCAATTTGGAGAATCTATTAATCTCAACTGGCAACTCTTCTATTGAAGAATCTCTCACATCTAAGAACTCTAAGTTCCGTAGCTTCCCAATTGATTTTGGAAGTTTTGACACTTTGGTTTTTCTTAAGTTGAAATACCTGAGATGCAGCAAATTTCCCAATTTTTTGGGAATGTAATTTATTGGACAGCATTCAAAATCTAATATGGTCAACAACTTGCATTTTCCAAATATCACATCAATTATGGGCTTTTGAAGCTCTATTCCGTCGAGGATCATAATACAGCGCGTTTGTGAATTAGTGTTGCTCTTTTGATTCCCATTTCCTTTGTTGCTTATAGAAAGGTATCTAGCTATGCTTTCAACCCTTGAGCAATTACCTGAAATATGACACAAACTCAATTCCTCTGACTTGGAAAGAATGACCTCACGTACCAAATCATGAACTCGAAATGTGTGGAGAGTTCCTTCAGCATAAACAATATCTGCTTGAACCAAACTTCGATGGATAAGTTCAATCAAATATTCTTCTGCAACCTCTTCTGATGTCATGCCTTGCTTTTCTTGTACAAAACCTTCAGCTACCCATAATCGAATTACTCTTCCACGTCCAATGGAAAAAGCCTCCGGGAAGATGCCCAAGTATAAGAAACAAGATTTAAGGTAGTAAGGCAGATCACCAAAACTAAGAGAGAGAATTTTGGTGACATTCTCAAGATGTGGATCACTCCTCAATGTAGAACCAAGAGTATTGAGCAATTTTTTCCACTCTAGAACCACCTTTTCTTTGCTCGCTAGCAGTCCACCGATGGCCACAATGGCAAGAGGCAATCCTCCGCATCTTCCAACAATGTCCCTGGATAACTCTTCCAAATCTTTAGGGCATCGCCCTTCAAAGTCACGCATGAATGTCTTCTTGCAAAACAACTCCCATGAATCTTGTTGGCCTAGAGGTTCTAGCAAATGGACATGAACTGATGAATATCTCCTACAGAAATTAGCAGCACCCTCATTTCTTGTTGTGATCAATATTCTACTGCCTTTGTTATTATCCAGCAAAGCACGCTCTACATCTTCCCAAAAGCCAATTTCCCATACATCGTCGAATACAATGAAATACCGCTCAAGTCGTAAATAATTTCTGAGCTCGCCAATCAATGATGACTCGTCCATTGCAACAATGTTTTCAGGACAACACTTATTTTTGGCTTCATAGAGTTTCCTTAGAATACTCTTTAGCAACTCTTTCTTATCATATGATTGAGACACCGTCACCCAAGCATGACATCTGAAGTGATCTTTCACTCTTAGGCTGTCATATACTTTCTTAGCAAGAGTGGTTTTACCCACTCCCCCCATACCAACCAATGAGATGATCGTCCTTTGAGATGCACCATCTACCATGTAACTTGTCAGTTTATCTCTCGAAGATTCAATGCCGACAAGTTCACCTTCTTCAATGAAAAGAGAACCCATTCGAGGATCATGCAATATGGCTCTTCTTGCACTACTAGATGCCCCTTGCTCTGAAGAATTAAACTGGAATGCTTCCCTTCTCTCCTTGATTTTTTGAAGAGCTTTCCTAACATCTTGAATCTTTATCGCTATCTCATGGTGTGCTTTTAGTTTCATAACTGAGGAAGCAATACTTTGCAAGAAGCCTCTAAATCCACGTTGACCATGATGTTGTGCCACGCGAAGCATGTATTCGTCACTGATATCTTCAATGTGATAGGCCACTTCCCTTGCTTGCTTCACCCATACTTTCACACCCTCATTGATGCCTTCTCTCTCTGCCTTTGAATCTGCATCTTTCAGGAAAGCTCTAATGGCTTCCAAATCATCTTTGATATCTTCAACTCCTTTGCGGATGCCTTTCAATAGTTTCACTTCTTGAATTAGCAATGCATCCAACTTGTTAATAGCAAAGCTCACAGCTGACTCTGCCATTTCTCTACTCTATCTTCTGACCCACCAACTTGTCTTCTTACCTAAGATCGTGGATTCTGAAGTTAGGATCCTCAAACTAGTTAGTTTGTATATTTCACGTTTAGTTAAAGCATTTAACATTGCCAAACCAACTGCTTATGCAAGTCTGTCTACCACAATTAAAATATGATTGCTAGATGATTCTGAGGGATTTAGTGTAATACAAAAACTGATTGAGGTATATTAGTTAAGCTCATCTTTGATATCTGTAATTTAGTGTAAACTCAGACACACATATCCACTATAGCTGATAATTTATAGATGGAATGTTTTTACATGATCTATGAAATTGCTGGATGTGCAAATTACCTTTACTTTTCAATCACAGAAGACAAAGAACTTGATGCTATGAATTCTTGTATAAAAGTTCCTCTGACTTTTCAACATTCCATACCCATCTTGCTGTTGCACAATTCAGCTTTGATATCTCTAGAACATCAACAATATATATCTTAGTTAATGGTTGAAATTGAAAAGACTATAAGATGCAAATCTGTCAGATCAATAATCGGCTAACCAATGAATGAGTTGAGACGTGATCATGGTATAAATCAGCAACGTACAGTTTAATAAGTCTGGCTAAAAATTCTTATATAGTAAAATATTTAATGAAATTCTAATTGAAAAACAAGTTTCTTATGTGATATCATAGCAGAATTTGAAGGGAAAGTATGATCTCCAATGGGAGTCAAATGAAGTAAAGAGAAAAGAGTGTGACCTAGCTAATTCATCACCATTGCCAGTAAATATCTAACAATTAGGAGAAATACGTGATCTGGTTCATAGTGCTTGGCAAGCAATCTTAATACAACCAAGATGAAGATAACACAGAACCAAGTTCCACAACTCGAAAACATAGAAAACATAGTAGTTTAAAAATCAGAAAGATGTAATAATTCATAATAAAGTAAGACCATTCTTTATCTTAAATATCTTCCAAGACATTTCCAGTAGGATTTTTCACTAAAATTGCACTATGTTATAGATTGAGGCTAATTTTTCACGCATTGGATCGAATCACTTAAAAAAATCACTTTCAAAATAAGACGAAATCTTTTAACTGTTACTAACAATGGATAGATAGAGGGACGACATTATCGACCTTATTTCGAAATTATGTGGAAATTACCTTTTTCATGTATAGAAGACAGAGACTTGAAGTTGCAAATTCTTCTATGAAAGCTCCTCTTGCTCCTCTTGCTTTTCATCATTCCCCTGACATCTCGTTGCTCCACAATTCATCCATGACATCTCTACCTTCAGTGGAACGTAGAAGAAGGTAAATAAACAGCTTCAGTACTTGTTGGTTTAAGTAGCGAAAGGAAGCACAAACCTCATACCTCTTCAGCTTCTCCACCCAAATATAGCTGTAGCTCCTAGGTGCTCTCTCTCTATCTCTCTCACTCTCTCTCCAAGAAACAACAGTTTAAAGGTTGTAAACGTTACCTTCACTTTTCCTTTCTCTTTCTTGCATCATTATCATTGACCCGTTTGGTTCACCAATGTTATAAAAGAGAACTAATTAATTCGTCTCTCAAAACTGGACTGATTTGTAAACCCGTGTTTTCAACAGGTTGTAAGCCCAACAAGCAATTTGTATAATAATATGAGAACAGTTCTAGAATTTGGATTGAGTTGCCTTATGGGCCGGGATGAGCTGGGTTGAGCTTTTGGGCTCTTTACTCTCCTGTATTTCTTTCCTCCTGCTGCTGCGTTCTTAATTACCAAAAACAATCCAAAAACAGTTTGGGTAAACTCGACTTTAAATGTCATGATTTTCAACCAAAATCTGTAAAATTGACAAAGTTGGCATCGTAAACGACGTTCACACGAACGGTTCAAACCAAAGCATGAGCCAAAATAACTTAAAAATCAAGACGGCATTTTAAGTAAAAATTGACAAAAATAATCTAAACAGAAGTTCAAATTTACACAATATAGATATATTTTTAAGACAAAATCTACGCAATATCAAATTGATTGATCACAACTAACAAAAATAGTCCAAAAATGAGGTTTAGGACAACATAACTCAATGATAATATTTTTTAGATGAAATTAACACAATATCAATTAATCGTTACAATGAGTAAAAATGATCTAAAAAGAGGTTAATTCAGACCAATGCGATTTAAAAATCATAATTTTTTTAGAAAAAATTGACAAAAAGTTATAATTGATGGACAAACTTTTACAAAAAGTAACAAATGAAAAAAAAATTCTTATTTAATGTTGATGAGAATATTAATTTTTGAAATAATACGTGCAACGATACAAGTGAGATAGAACAAAATCATTTTAAAAATGATTTTGTTACAAAAAATAACAAATGAAAAAAAAATTCTTATTTAATGCTGATGAGAATATTAATTTTTAAAATAATACGATACGGATAGATAGAACAAAATCATTTCAAAATTCATAATTTTTTATTTCATTATAACTATTTTTTTTTTGGTGTGATTTTCATAAAATTTTTACTTAAAAAACATGATTTATTCTTCTTTATTCAGGGATTTTTAAATAAAACTTATAATAATTTAAACCTTAAATATTAATTAAAAATTCAAAAATGAATACTTTAAAATTATTTTTTTATAAGAACATATCCAAAAAATAAAGTTACAATTAATGTATAGACTTGCATAAAAATTAACCAATGAAAAAATAAAATGCTATTCCTATTTAATGTTGGTGAGAAGATTTTTTTCTTTCAAGTATATACGTTTAATCTATATATATTTATTTACAAAATAATCAGTAAAATTAGAATAAAAAAACCATATTTGAATAATTGGTTGGTTCCTTTAAAAAATTATTTTAATTATTTTATTTCAAATAAATTGGTTCTATAATGTTAAAAAAAATTCTTAGTAAATAATTTGTATTATATTGAGAGATGTATAGTTAATTTTTAATATAAAAATAAGAATAAAATTAACTTTATGTGAATTTTTATAATAAATTGAAAAGATCAATTTTAAACAATAAGAATAGTATATATTTATTCTAAAATCTAAAACATATAGTATATATTATATAATTTTCAGTTTATGTAGAAAAACAATTATGTTGGAAGATGTATAGTTAATTTTTAATATAAAAATAAGAATAAAAGTTAACTTGATGTGAATTTTTATAATAAATTAAAAAGATCAATTTTAAACAATAAAAATAGTATATATTTATTCTAAAATCTAAAAATATATCATATATATATATATATTATATAATCATCGGTTTATGTAAAAAAAAATAACGATTGATTTTTTAAAATTTTAACACCCGATCAAATAAAAAAGAAAAAACTTAAATTGATGAAAAAAATGACAGGAAAAAAAAACATATGTAGTGCATCGGCCAATGGATTAAAATTTTTATTTTAAAATTCTAAGAACCAAAATGAAAAAAATTTAAAAATTCAAAAAATAAAAATAAAAATTGACGAATGGTGATTTGCGAGAGGATGAACGAGTGAAACTCACTATTCATACCTCCCACATCTTTTAGATATACAATAATTCGAAGATGTATAGTTAATTTTTAATATAAAAATAAGAATAAAAGTTAACTTGATGTGAATTTTTATAATAAATTGAAAAGATCAATTTTAAACAATAAGAATAGTATATATTTATTTTAAAATCTAAAAATATATCTTATATATTATATAATTGTCAATTTATATGAAAAAAATAATGATTGATTTTTAAAAATTTTAACACCCAATTAAATAAAAAAAGAATATAAATTGATGAAAAAAATAAAAGGAAAAAAAGCATGTGTAATGCACTGACCAAGGGGTTAAAATTTATATTTAAAATTTTAGATACCAAAATGAAACAATTTAGAAATTATAAAAAGAAACTGGTAAATAGTGATTTGTGAGGGGATGAACAGTGAAACTCACTGTTCATACCCCCACATCTTTTAGATATGCGAGAGGGACTAATTTGTAATTTACTCATATAAAATAGTGTTTTTTTTTTAAGTTATTAATAGTATAATAGCTTAGCTAATGAAAAGTCATTTCATTATGCATCAAACAGTCTACATTTGAATTTAACTCAAAAAAAAAAAAAAAAAGATTAAAAGAAAAAGTTCAAAACTTCATGGACGAGTTAATTAAAATAAATTGTTATAAACTCGCAGTCACGAGTACATTCATTTGTGCTTTAAATAACTGAATAAATTACATCATCTTTTCAATTTCTCATATTGAATGGTGAATTGAATCATATGAATAGTGAAGAATATGAAATGGACATTCATTATTTTATAACAAAAAGATAGATTGAAAACTTAATGTATATTTAAAAATAAAATTAACTCAATTAGGGATATAAGGATAGATTGAAGAATTATCTAATTATATAAGAATTTATTGAACTATTAAGCCAAAATAAAATTTCAGCTACTAATGTTTAGCCTCGTATTAAGATCTATAATTTGATGTTACAACATTGCATTATCTTAAAAAAAACCTATAGTTACGAAGATTAATAGAATTAAATGAAAAATAAAAAATCATTAACAAAATCAAAATCAAAATCAGACAAGTGTATAAGAACTTTATAAAAATACACTTGGTGAAATAGCAAAACTTATTCTAAAATTATCACTCAATTTTGCATTCTTAAATAAGTTTATATTGAAAAAAAAATTATTAAAATTAGTCTAATTATAGTATTATTATGTAATTTTTTTATTTCATGACTTGATGTGAAAGCCCATAACATACCTTGTATGTTAATGTTGGGCCTAACATCAAAAGATTGAGAACTACTATGAATGATTGAAGACATTTGAAAGAATTTTTTATCTATCAAATAATTCTATAACATTTAAGTATGTGCTCAATGCTTAACTTGAAAATTCCTCCGATTAAAGATTAAAAACTGATTGCTTTATCATCCTATCCAAAAGCAGAGTAGGTGGCTTTTCCATTGAAGATGAAGCATACCAAACAAGATGAAAGAATTTTAATTAAAACAGTATTTGGAAGTCTAAATATCAAGATAGAAGGTGACAATGAAGCATCCTAGGCTTCATGACCGACTAGAGAAGAAATAGCTCCCTCAAGAAACTTTGCATGTCAAAAGAAAAATAGAGAAAAATAGAGACATCGTTTCAACAAGAACCTTTTCATCACTACATGTCAACTAGGTGTGGTTAGCTTGTCCTTAGTCGATTGCTCCTTTGTCTCATGCTGTTTTTATTGAGGTTCCCGGTTTTCTGCAGTTTCTAGGATAGTTTAATCTTATGTTGAAATTCCATTTTCTATTCACAATTTTGTTTGGCTTTTCTTGCTTCTTGTGTTGGTTTATATCTGCTTTTGTTCTTTTGGCCCCAAGTAATTGGCTTTTTTGCCTCCTTGCTGAATCTGATTCACCCATAAAGGACTTTTTATGTGCTGAAATTTCCAAGGCTTTTCCAATCGCAACTAATTCAGCAAGATTGGAGCCTATCTCTCCCACATACATAGCAATAGATTGTACAATTTCAAACCTTTTAAATTAGCATACAGGAAAAAGATTGTTAAATCCAAAGCCAACAAGAAATGACATAATTTCAAGTCTATATTCCTCCCATATGCATATTATTATGTTAATAGGAATTCACTATTACAAGACTTGACAAGTTGTAGGAAGATACTATGATTCATCAGAGGATCATATAAGTTGGTTGAAGATCAATTATTACAGGGAGATTCAATCAAATCAAAGCAAAACAAATACAATATAACAAATAACAATAACAGGAACGCTGAAAACAAGTTCAACCATGTAAAATAATCACAAAGTACAATCACAAACACATATATTGATGTCCACAGTAATCACCATTTCAAGAGTAGGTTGGTAGAATTCTTGAAGCCAGGCACACATTCATGGTAATCATCAATAGAGGCTAGCTAAAAAAAAAAAAAAAAGATCATGTATTATAATTTTTTATAGGAAACAAAAGTGTTAAGAGTGAATAATACAATAATGAATTGGAGAAACAATAGTATATAAATAATCAACATAATTACCTATCGCAAAGAACGAGTAGTATTGTAAGAGCTAGAGAATGATAGAAAAGAAAAGAAAAAATAGTTCAAGGACTACAATAAAAACAAACGAATGGTTAAAGATTAAGTCTTTGTTGATCAATAGTTTAGGGTAACTTTACACCATTTAGCCAAATCAACTATCACTCTTACTTTCAAACCGTATCAATACACCAATTATGTCTGCTTCCATTAGGAAATATATATATATATATATATATATATATATATATATATATATATATAATGGAACAAAGTTTTTCGATCCTTAAATTTTTAAAAGTTGATCAAATAATGCCTTCTTTGATGAAATTAAATCTACTTTCTAAAAGGTACAAATGATGCTACAGCTATATATATGTAGGGTTAGACATTGAAAAATATAAGATACCAAGTTTGTTGTTATTTTCTCCATTAGATAACCTAAAATAATTGATTCATTGACTTGATTCTCACTGATTGTTGTGGACTTATAATTGTTGCATGATTAGCTTGCTATTAAAATTAATCTCAATGTGTTTCTCATAACAAGCTCAAAACTAGCTTAGTTAAAAACAATATATCTCAGCAATAATAACAACTCTGACAATCATGATCATAAGGTAGCTACAATAATGTAATGAACATGTGTATTAGGAATGATATTGCTATAAGAAACAAAATTATCGTAATGGATAGAATACTGAAGGAGAAACATGCTTACATATTTGTGGGTGCGTGTAGAGTTGACCCCTCTCCATCAAATTTCCCTATTACCCACAAAAAAAAAAAAAAAAAAAAAGGTTAAGAGTGAATAGAACCATGGAAGTGAAAAGAAACAAGTAAAGTTGACTATTGAAGAAACAAAGATTTTTATTAACCAATATACGAGGGGAAAAAAAAATATTGTAAGGACAATAAACGGGAATATTTCAAACGCTGAAAAATTTATACCTTCATAAAAAGCAATGTCACATGAAGGTACATTGATCAAAAAGAAAAAAAGTGATAATTGAAAATCAAAATTGTAGTAGGCTATTAGGAATGTTGTAAGAATTAGAATAACTCGTTTGGCTATTACGAATTAGAATAACTCATTCTTTTTCTTCAATAATAATAATAATTTATTGTTTATATTCATTGCAGTAAATAATTTAGAGACTTTATATTCCTAACTAATAGATATTTTAAAATTACAACGATTAATAGAATTGAATTGCTTTCAATTAGATGATAGAAGTTATTGAAGTATTTAGTTAGTACAATTAAAAAAATTTAACATTCATTCTTTCTATTTATATAATAAAGCTTTTGAATTCCTTAATCATACATTCAAAATAACATTTGAAAATAATAAATGAAGACAAAAAAAAATCTAATCCCACATACTTGTAGAAAGCACTAGTATATATTATATAAAACAAAAAAAAAAAAAAAAAACAAACAAACTTACCGATTGACCAATTTATAAGATCTTTTTTTTTAAAGAAAAAATATATGATCATGTTATCATTATTTGTTGATGCAAAACATACAGCATATTTCATAGCACATATGAATTTGACATTCATAAAATATATAAAAAATTGAAAATTAAATCAGGCAAGTGTATAAGAATTTTTTTAAAATACACCAATATGGTAATATGAAATTAAAAATATTATTTTTTACGAGTTGAAGTAGCAAAAACTATTCACTCAATTTTACATTTCTGAAAATAAATAATGCGTACCATCTTAAATGTCGCTTCAACCGTGCTGCATAAGAAGTTTGATCATCAGGGTCGTATGTACCATCATATAGGAGAAATGGTACATGCTTCACTTTCCAATAGTCTTCCCCTTCTTCACGAGACAACCTTTGTGTGAACTCATTTGACATCCCAGCAAAATATAGCTCTTTGAGGTGTTTCAAGTGTTGAATTCCAGAGGGCACCTCCTTCAATTGTGAGGAAGGACCTATTTGCAACGTTTCAACAAAAGGCATTGCTCCTTTGTCAATTGTCATCGTTTTTAACTCATTCAACCCTGCAAGACCTAACAGCTTGAGTTTTTGAAACCCTCCTTTGAAATGAATCTTCTCTCCACTATATCCAGAAACCAGCCCAAGAACTTTTAAATTAGGCAAAGCTTGGATAACTTTTATCGGATCATCCTTCAATCTTGAATACCACAAAATCAATTGAACTAGATTTTGTAGTTTGGAAACCCAATCAGGGAACCTTTCTAAGTGTCCCCCAAGTGTGAGAGTCTGAAGGTGAGAAGGAGGAGCAGACATAGATTGCACTTCAAGAATCTCATCCTCATTGATTGTATAAACACGTAGGGACTGCAGTTGAGTCATACTCTCCAATACAGTGCACAGATCCCTTCCATATTCACTTTTCAAACTTCTAATCCCTAATTTTCTCAATTGCTTCAACTTTCCTAACTCATTAATTAATCTCACACCTTGATCATCATCTAATCTAATTCTATGTAGTGTTTGCAAGAACTCTAAATACCTAATGCTGCCATGTATCTTTAACGCATGACTACTTAAAAGATATCGTAATTTGGAGAATCTATTAATCTCAACTGGCAACTCTTCCACTGAAGAATCTCTGACATCTAAGAACTCTAAGTTCTGTAGCTTCCCAATTGATTTTGGAAGTTTTGACACTTTGGTTTTCCTTAAGTTGAAATATTTTAGATGCAACAAATTTCCCAATTCTTTGGGAATGTAACTTATTGGACAACATTCAAAATCTAATGTTGTCAACAGCTTGCATTTTTCAAATATCCAATCAATTATGGGCTTTTGAAGCTCTGTTCCATCGAGGATCATAATAGAGCGTGTTTGTGACTTGGTGTCGCTTTTTTTATTCCCATTTCCTCTTTTGCTTATAGAAAGGTGTCTAGCTATGCTTTCCATCCTTGAGCAATTACTTGAAACATGGCACAAACTCAATTCCTCTGACTTGGAAAGAATGACCTCACGTACCAAATCATGAACTCGAAATGTGAGGAGAGTTCCTTCAGGATGAACAATATCCACTTGAACCAAACTTCGATGGACAAGTTCAATCAAGTATTCTTCTGCAACCTCTTCTAATGTCATGCCTTGCTTTTCTTGTACAAAACCTTCAGCTACCCATAATCGAATTACCCTTCCGCGTCCAATGGAAAAATCCTCCGAAAACATGCCCAAGTATAAGAAACAAGATTTAAGGTGGTAAGGAAGATCACCAAAACTAAGAGAGAGAATTTTGGTGACATTCTCAAGATGTGGATCACTCCTTAATGTAGAACCAAGATTATTGAACAATTTTTCCCACTCTAGAACCACCTTTTCTTTGCTCGCTAGCAATCCGCCGATAGCCACAATGGCAAGAGGCAATCCTCCGCATCTTCCAACAATGTCCCTGGATAACTCTTCCAAATCTTTAGGGCAACGCCCTTCAAAGTCATGCATGAATGTCTTCTTGCAAAACAACTCCCATGAATCTTGTTGGCCTAGAGGTTCTAGCAAATGGGCATGAACTGATGAATATCTCCTACAGAAATCAGCAGCACCCTCATTTCTTGTTGTGATCAATATTCTACTGCCTTTTTTATTATCCAGCAAAGCATGCTCTACATCTTCCCAAAAGCCAATTTCCCATACATCGTCGAATACAATGAAATACCGCTCTAGTCGTAAATAATTTCTGAGCTTGCCAATTAATGATGACTCGTCCATTGTGACAATGTTTTCAGGACAACAATCTTTTTTGGCTTCACAGAGTTTCCTTAGAATGCTCTTCAGTAACTCCTTCTTATCATATGATTGAGACACCGTCACCCAAGCATGACATCTGAAGTGATCTTTCACTCTTAGGTTATCATATACTTTTTTAGCAAGAGTGGTTTTACCCACTCCCCCCATACCAACCAATGAGATGATCGTCCTTTGAGATGCACCATCTACCATGTAACTTGTCAGTTTATCTCTCGAAGATTCAATGCCAACAAGTTCACCTTCTTCAATGAAAAGAGAACCCATTCGAGGATCATGCAATATGGCTCTTCTTGCACTACTAGATGCTCCTTGCTCTGAAGAATTGAATTGGAATGATTCCCTTCTCTCCTTGATTTTTTGAAGAGCTTTCCTAACATCTTGAATCTCCATCGCTATCTCGTGGCGTGCTTTTAGTTTCATAACTGAGGAAGCAATACTTTGCAAGAAGCCTCTAAATCCACGTTGACCATGATGTTGTGCCACGCGAAGCATGTATTCGTCAATGATATCTTCAATGTGATAGGCCACTTCCCTTGCTTGCTTGACCCATACTTTCACACCCTCATTGATTCCTTCTCTCTCTGCCTTCGAATCTGCATCTTTCAGGAAAGCTCTAATGGCTTCCAAATCATCTTTGATATCTTCAACTCCTTTGCGGATGCCTTTCAATAGTTTCACTTCTTGAATTAGCAATGCATCCAACTTGTTAATAGCAAAGCTCACAGCTGACTCTGCCATTTCTCTACTCTATCTTCTGACCCCACCAACTTGTCTTCTTACCTAAGAACATGGATTCTGAAGTTAGGCTCCTCAAACTAGTTAGTTTGTATATTTCACGTTTAGTTAAAGCATTTAACATCGCCAAATCAACTGCTTATGCAAGTCTGTCTACCACAATTAAAATATGATTGCTAGATGATTCTGAGGGATTTAGTGTAATACAAAAAGTGATTGAGGTATAGTTGTTAAGCTCATCTTTGATATCTGTAATTTAGTGTAAATGACTTTGTAGTATGCAGCTCAGAGACACATATCCATTATAGATGATAATTTACAGATGGAATGTTTTTGCATGATCTATGAGGTTGCTGGATGTGCAAATTACTTTTACTTTTCAATCACAGAAGACAAAGAACTTGATGCTATGAATTCTTGTATAAAAGTTCCTCTGACTTTTCAACATTCCATCCCCATCTTGCTGTTCCACAATTCAGCTTTGATATCTCTAGAACATCAACAATATATATCATAGTTAATGGTTGAAATTGAAAAGACTATAAGATGCAAATCTATTACTATTATAATTCAGATCAATAATCTACTAACCTATGAATGAGTTTTATTTTCAACATTCTATCCAAAAAAATTAAGCAAAGAAGGGTTTGAGAGTTTCTATTTTCTTTAACGTTAATGTAATAGGAGAGAACTGCTTTTTATTGTATAACCAAAGACCCATCAAATAGAATAAAGAGGGAAAGAGAGAGAGAGAAAAGCAATACTCATGAATAAATAGATATAGAAATGAACTGTTCGTCTAAAATTTTGGAAACTAAAACGAAATGGTGTTTTATTGTAGCTAAATTAATCCTTGTTTTAGCAAATAGACATACAATTAATATTATTTTGTATTTAATTTATTTTTCTTTATATTGATTAATTTTTATTTTATGCCAAGATTTTTTTAAAAATTATTTCAGATATTAAAAGATATTATATAGATTTATCCATGAGAAAATGCAAGTACTATGCTTGCTTGTACGTATATATAAGAGATCACTGAAAATTGACTGGTTAGAAAGTTTTGTGCTTCTTTGTCCAGTTAAAATATTATTCTAGCAGACCTTGAATGAAACTATAATATTAATGATACAAATTCTTACAAACTTCAGTACGTATATGATATTATATTAAGCAGACACTAATAATAGAGATGTAATCTTCTATGAATAGTTGATGGATGTTGAAATTATGAAAAAAATTACCATTTTCATGTACAGAAGGCAGAGACTTGAAGTTGCAGATTCTTGTCTAAAAGCTCCTCTTGCTTCTTATTATTCCATTGACATCTTGTTGCTCCACAATTCATCTTCGACATCTCTCACTTCTCTGGAATGGACAAGAATTTAGTCAGACACTCAAATTACATAGCAGAGTTTGGTAATAATTGGTGTCGGTATATGATATGGTTGGAGAAACAGTAAAAGAAAATGTCTCAAAATTACAAACCTCATACTTCTTCAGCTTCTCCACCCAAATATAGCTATAAAATTTTAACTCTTTTTGTGTTCTTCAATATAAGATTTAACATCATTATTCCTGGTTAATTTCATGCGAAGACTTTGAATTTTCCACTCCTTATCTCTATGAATCTGAGTTGTCGTAGTATGATTGGGGAAGAATCTGTTTTGTGACCATTAATTAATAGGGTAGATAGGCGTGCACCTACTCTTCCTCAATCCATTTAAGACCTGATGTGGTGACATTCTTCAATCGGCATTTCGTTTGCTTATCTTATTGCCATCAAAGCATTTGATAAAACTGAAAATTTCAAAACCTCATTGAATCTAGTTGAAGATATAAAATCTCAAATAAGATTTAAATTTGATGACAGAATTAAAAAATACCAATATTAAGAAACAAAAACAATAAATGATTTCAAGTAGACTCAAATCATATTCCTATTTGTTAATTAAAAAAATATATGTGAGCTTTGGGAGTGTGGCGGCCATAAATAAGATTGAATTTCAGGAGATAGCTTGGGGGCTGGCCAACAGCAATCAACCTTTCTTGTGGGTTGTTCGACCAGGATTAGTCCAGGGCTTAGAATGCCTTGAACTGTTGCCGGACGGATTCCTTGAGATGGTATGTGAAAGGGGTTATATCGTGAAATGGGCTCCTCAACAAGAGGTTCTAGCACACCCTGCCACTGGAGGGTTTTGGACACACAACGGGTGGAATTCCACATTAGAAGGAATTTGTGAAGGGGTGCCCATGATTTGTCAGCCTTCATTTGGCGACCAGAAAGTAATAGCTAGGTATGTAAGTGGTGTTTGGAAAATTGGGATACACTTGGATTATACGCTTGAGAGAGGGAAGATAGAGAGGACAATCAAAAGATTAATGGCAGAGGCAGAAGGGCAAAGAAGAAGGGAGAGAATAATGTCTTTGAAAGAGAAGGTAGAACTTTGTGTGAGACAAGGGGGCTCTTCTTATCACTCTCTGGCGAGCTTGGTCGATTACATTTTATCTTTCTAGATTTTGAATTTTTGTTCACTTGGTTCATTTCAAGTTTAACCCAAAACAACAGTTCCTTTTTACGAATTTAGTTTATAGGTCTGACCTTCAACTGAGGCAGTAGTTCCTCAGAAGAGGACTCTTTATTTTCAAGTTATCGTACATGATAGAGACCTTATGGATTACAGTTTATGTGTATTCAACATTTAAGCAATTTTCGCAATTTGAACTTGAATTTGTGTTTCTGGAAAACTCAACCAGTGACCTGAAGGATTTGCATTGCTCATAGCTCATATTATTACTAATGTTATCGGCTCAGGAGTTCTGTCCTTGGCTTGGAGTACAACACAGCTGGGATGGATAGCAGGGCCAATTTCCTTGCTTTGCTTTGCGATTATCTCCAATGTTTCTGCATTCCTTCTTTCTGTTTCTATAGGTCCCCTGACCCTGTTACCTTTGAACTTGTCTCCAAAATCCCTGTATAATTTTCGGTTAGGATTATGCTTTAATTGCTTCCTAGTCTGATGCAGTGATAGTTCAGGTTGAACACAAACATGGTTTGGTGGTTTTTTCCAATATCTGAGTATATATGGGACTGGTGTTGCTTATATTATTAATACTTCAACCTAGCATGAGGTACTTCCTCATCGAATTCTATGATTTACACATTTTTCTATCCCTTGTGTTTGACACTGCTTTGGATTAATGCCCTTGCAAGATTAGTGACTCTCCATGGAGTCTTGAAACACTGTTCAATTTTAATCTGCGATCCAGACTTAGTACGTAGAATAAGCATGAATCTTCCGTTCGGAGAAGCCTCCAAAACTTACGAAATTCCAGAGAATTGCAGGATCACATGGAGCATTACTGAAGTCTCAGCTGCCACTACTGCTGATATGTTATTGTCAGCCTTTGAATCTCTAGAGGACATTGCAGCAACTTATTTTCTGCAGTAGAAACTAACAACAAATTTTGAAGAGTTTTTCTGATAATTGAATCCTGACGTCAACAAGCTCAGCTTCCTCAATGGAAAGAGATCAAGCAATATGACGTTTCTTTCATTACTACTTGATGCTTTTTGATCGGAAGAAATGAACCGGAATCTTTCACTTATATCCTTGATATTTTTAAGAGTTATCCTGATATCTTGAATTTCTGATGCTATTTCATGGCATGGTTGCAATTTCATAACCAAGGAAGAGAATTTATGCAATAAGCCCACAAATCCAGGTCGATCACGATGTTTTTCCATGTGAAGCATGTATTTGTCAATGACATCTTCAATGTGATAAGCTACATCCCTCGCTTTCTTTACCTATATATACTTTCACACCCTCGCTGATGCCTTCTTTCTTTGCCTTTGAATCTGCATCTTTTATAAAAGCTCTAATGGCTTCCAGATCATCTTTGATATCTGCAACATTTTTTATGGATGCCTTTCAATTGTTTCACCTCTTGAGTTAGGAACAAAACCAACTTGTTAACAGCGAGATTCAATGCAGACTCTGCCATTTTTCCTCCTCTCTTTTCTTCTAACTCTATTTGACCTTCTTTTCTGGTACCACCCTGTGAGAACGCATTTTGAAGTGAGGATCACTGAAAATTTTGATTTGCTTGAACTTTTCAATCCTTCTTTTTCCGCATATAAAATGTTCTTCACAGGCTCCACAGACTAAACTATATCAGAAATTAATGAATATTCATGCATAAGGTTCCAGAATGTGGGAATTAGTACCTTGCTTTTTATGCAGAAGAAATAATTCCTTGAGCAAGTTGTGGATTTGGTTCAAGCAGGGAGAAGAGAAGACCAAACTTATCGATCAACCACAAACTTTAATCGCTGCTTCAACTCCTCTCTATATCTCTACAAGAAACAACAGTTCGAAGGTTGTTAACTTTGCACCATGTCATTTTCTTAATTTTATAACTATTTGGTAATTTCATAAGTTATATTAGGCCAAAAGGTTTCCTATGGATCCACATACCATATGGGTCCATGATCATCTCACATTAATTAACCATATGGGTCAGTCCATCTATAATCAAACTTTGGACTTGATGTCAAAGCCCACAATATAATAATGTTGGGCCTAACATCAGAATATTCAGAACTAGTATAAATGAATGAAAGCACTGTAAGAATTTGTTGTTTGTCAAATAATTTCCTGAAAACTTAATCTTAATTTCCTCCCAGAGAAGATTAAAAACTGATTACCTTTTTTTTTCCCCCATTTGTTCCTGAAGCTTCAATAATTGTTAGTTGTTACGTGGACAACTGCTGCTAATTTTCCATATTGAGAAAACGAAAGAGCAAAAATCCTAGGAAAAGCAGCAGCAAATAGGCAACCACTTTAGCTTTCAGAGAACAAGAAGAGTACAACAGATAGCACTCCAGTTGATTGAGCAGGAAGCAGTAGACCACCACAGCTTCATGTCAATACAGAAATCACCAGAGAAATTGATATCTTGACCAACCTATCCAGAAGAAGATTAGGTAGCTTTTTCATTGAAGATCAAGCATACCAAGCGAGACTAAAGAAGCGTAATCAGAGCAGCATTTGGATTGCTAAATATCAAGACAGAAGGTGATAATGAAGCATCACCAATCCAAATAAAACAGAGACTACATGTCAGCAAGAACCCTTTCCTCGCTACATTTCAACTGGGTGAAGATTGATTGTCTCATCACCAATCCACAGTTTCTAGTACTGTTTTGTATTCGTAATGTTGTGTGGCTTTTCTTGCTTTTTGTGCAGATTTATATCTGTTTTTGCTCCTGTCATCAGGTAATTGGCTTTTTTGCCTCTTTGGTGTCCTAATATATCTTTGGCTTATAAATAATAATAATAAAAAAAAAAATTACGGCCAACCAACATAAAGTTTAAACATTAGCTGAATCTGATTCACCCAGCAACAACAACACTGGCTTAGTAGTTGATAGCATCAAAGAGAAATACATAAGTTGCTTGATGAGCAATTATTACAGAGAGATTCAATCTGATCAAAGCCAAACCAGTACAACACGTACAACAAATAACAACAGCAACAACGCTGAAATATTGTAAAATAATCACAACAGTACAACCACACACGCCTATATATATTGTCACTTCAACATTACGTTGGTAGAATTCCTGGAGTCATCCACACATCGTCTGCAATGTCTCTGCAATATTGTCACTTGTATTAGAAATTTATTTATGAAACAAAAGAAAACATAATAAGCTATAAAAAAAAAAAAAATAGTACTATAGGAGTTAGAAAATGATAGAAAGGAAAGAAAAAAATAGTTTCAGGACTAGAATGGTTAGATAATTTAAAGGTAATTTTCTCACTATTGACTTTCAAACTAAGTTTTTGAGTCCCTAAATTTTTATAATTCTATCAAATAAAGCCTTCTTAAAATAATTTGATCAAATTAAATCTACTTCCAGAAGCTACCGATATGATGATGCTACCTCATACGTTAGACATTGAAAATTATAAGATACCAAATTTATTTCCATTCCTCCATTAAATAACCTAAAATAATTGATTCATTGACTTGATTCCTACTGTTTACTATAGACTTATTAATTGTTTCCTAAAATTAATCTTAGTGTGTTTCTCCTACCAAACTCAAAACTAGCTTAGTACCATGAAGAGAGAAATACATCAAGAGATTTATATATTTTTTCTTATTAAGCAACTATTGCAAGAAAATTTCAACTAAGTAAAAACAATTTAACACAACAATAATAACAATCGAGACAATCACAACAATAAGGTAGAACTCTTCACCATAATGATTAATGGTAGTTGGCAAGGTAAATAAAGAACATGTATTAAGAATGAAAAAACACAGATTCTTTATCAAGCATTAACCCAATATATGAGGGGGAATTGTAAGGACAATAAATGGGGATATTTCAAGAGCTAAAATTTATAACTTCATGAAATGTATGGTCACAAAGTACATCAAAAAAAAAAAAAAATGATAACTGAAAATCCAAATTAGAAGAGGCAAGTTTATGGGAAGATTTTAAAAACTCATCTCGCCATTAATTAAGAATTGGAGTACCTCATTCTTCAAAAAATTAAAAATTAATAAATTTATTGTTGATCTTCATTGACCTAAACAATTTAGAGATTTTATATCATAACTAATAGATACTTTAATGGAATTGAATTACTTTTAATAATTAGATGACGAAAGTTATCAAAGTATTTAATTGGTACCATTAATAGAATCTCACAGTTATTCTTTCAAACTATATAATAAAGCTTTTCAATTCCTTAATAATGTATTCAAGATGATATTTTAGAATAATAATAAAAAAAATAATCTAATCAGACATATTGAAAGCACATGTATATACAACAAAAGAAACAAATAAGCATAGGTATTGACCAATTTATAAGATCTTTTCTTTTTAAAGAAAAAAATATGGCATATTTCATAGCACATGTGAATTTGGCATTCATAAAATATATATCTAAAAGTCATTAATAAATTGAAAATTAAATCAGACAAGTGCGTAAAAAGTTTTTAAAAACACAAATCTAGTTATATGAAACTAGAAATATTGTTTTTCACGGGTTGAAGTAGCACAAATTATTATAAAACCATCACTCATTTTTGCATTCTGAAAATAAATAGTGTGTACCATCAAATGTATCGCTTCACTAATGCTCCATAAGATTCTTGATCATCAGGGACATATGTAGCATCATATTGGAGAATTGGTACATTCTTCACTATCCAATAGTCTTCTCCTTGTTCACGTGATAACCTTTGTGTGAACACATTTGACATCCCAGCAAAATATAGCTCTTTGAGGTGTTTCAAGTGTTGAATTCCAGAGGAAACCTCCTTCAATTGTGGGCAAGCTCCTATTGCTAGCGATTCAAGAAGAGGCATTGCTCCTTTGTCTATTGTCATCGTTTTCAACTCATTCAACCCTGAAAGAAGTAACTCCTTGAGCTTTTGAAACCCTCCTTCTTCAAAATGAATCTTCTCTCCATTGTATCCATCTAACAGCCAAAAAACTTTTAAATTAGGCAAAGCTTGAATAACTTTTATCGGATCATCCTTCATTCTTGAACACCACAAACACAATTCAACTAGATTTTGTAGTTTGGAAACCCAACCAGGGACCCTTTCTAACCGTCCACAAAGTTGGAGGGTTTGAAGGTGAGCAGGAGGAGAAGACATAGATTGCACTTCAACAATCTCATCCTCATTGGCTACACGAACATATAGTGACCGCAGTTGAGTCATCCTCTCCAATGCAGTGCACAAATCCCTTCCATATTCTCTTTTCAAACCTATAATCCCCAATTTTCTCAATTGCTTCAACATTCCTAACTCATTAATTAATCTCACACCTTGATCATTATCTAATCTAACTGCATCTAGTACTTGTAAGAACTCTAAATGCCCAATGCTGCCATGTATCTTCAATGCAGAATCACCCAAAAAATATCGCAATTTGGAAAATCTATTAATCTCAACTGGCAACTCTTCTATTGAAGAATCTCTCACATCTAAGTACTCTAAGTTCTGTAGCTTCCCAATTGATTTTGGAAGTTTTGAGACTTTGGTTTTTCTTAAGTTGAGATACTTCAGATGCAGCAAATTTCCCAATTCTTTCGGAATGTAATTTATTGGACAGCTTTCAAAATCTAATGCGGTCAACAACTTGCATTTTCCAAATATCCAATCAATTACGAGCTTTTGAAGCTCTACTCCGTTGAGGATCATAATAGAGCGTGTTTGTGACTTGGTGCTGCTCTTTCGATTCCCATTTTCTCTGTTGCTTATAGAAAGGTGTCTAGCTATGCTTTCAAAGCTTAAGCAATTACCTGAAACATGGCACAAACTCAACTCCTCTGACTTGGAAACAATGACCTCACGTACCAAATCATGAACTCGAAGTGTACTAGGAGTTCCTTTAGGACTAGCAAGATCCACTTGAACTAAACTTCGATGGATAAGTTCAATCAAGTATTCTTTTGCTACCTCTTCTAATCTCATGCCTTTCTTTTCTTGTACAAAACCTTCAGCTACCCATAACCGAATTAGCCTTCCACGTCCAATGGAAAAATCCTCTGGAAACATGCCCAAATATAAGAAACATGATTTAAGGTAGTAAGGCAGATCACCATAACTAAGAGAGAGAATTTTGGTGACATTCTCAAGATATGGATCACTCGTCAATAATGTCGAACCAAGACTATTGAGCAATTTTTCCCACTCTGGAACCACCTTTTCTTTGCTCGCTAGCAGTCCACCGATGGCCACAATGGCGAGAGGCAATCCTCCACATCTTCCCACAATGTCCCTGGATAATTTTTCCAAATCTCTAGGGCATCGCCCTTCAAGGTCACGCTTGAATGTCTTCTTGCAAAACAACTCCCACGAATCCTGTTGGCCTAGAGGTTCCAGCGAATGGATATAAACCAATGAATATCTCCTACAGAAATCAGCAACACGCTCATTTCTTGTTGTGATCAATATCCTACTGCGTTTGTTATTATCCAGCAAGGCATGCTCTACATCTTCCCAAAAGCCATACATCATCGAATACAATGAAATACCGTTCTAGTCGTAAATAATTTCTGAGCTCGGCAATCAATGATGACTCGTCCATTGTGACAATGTTTTCAGGACAACACTCTTTTTTGGCTTCATAGAGTTTCCTTAGAATACTCTTCAGTAACTCCTTCTTATCATATGATTGAGAAACCGTGATCCAAGCATGACATCGGAAGTGCTCTGTCACCTTTGGGCTGTCGTATACTTTCCTAGCAAGAGTAGTTTTACCCACTCCCCCCATACCAACCAATGAGATGACCGTCCTTTGAGATGCACCATCTACCATGTAACTTGTCAGTTTATTTCTCGAAGATTCAATGCCAACAAGTTCACCTTCTTCAATGAAAAGAGAACCCATTCGAGGATCATGCGATATGGCTCCTCTTGCATTGTTAGATGCTCCTAGCTCTGAAGGGATGAACTGGAATGGTCCACTTCTCTCCTTGATATTTTGAAGAGCTTTTCGAACATCTTGAATTTCTGATGCTATCTCATGGCGTGCTTTTAGTTTCATAACTGAGGAAGCAATACTTTGCAAGAAGCCTCTAAATCCACGTTGATCATGATGTTGTGCCACGCGAAGCATGTATTTGTCAATGACATCTTCAATGTGATAGGCCACTTCCCTTGCTTGCTTCACCCATACTTTCACACCCTCATTGATGCCTTCTCTCTCTGCCTTCGAATCTGCATCTTTCAAGAAAGCTCTAATGGCTTCCAAATCATCTTTGACATCTTCAACTTCTTTATGGATTCCTTTCAATAGTGTCACTTCTTGAATTAGCAATGCAGCCAACTTGTCAATAGCAAAGCTCACTGCTGACTCTGCCATTTCTCTACTCTATCTTCTGAACCCACCAACTTGTCTTCTTACCTGAGATCATGGATTCTGAAGTTAGGCTCCTCAAACTAGTTAGTTTTAATATTTTACGTTTAGTTAAAGCATTTAACATCGCCAAATCAACTGCTTATGTAAGTCTCTCTACCACATTTAAAATACGATTGCTTGATGATTCTGAGGGATTTAGTGTAATATACAACTGATTGAGGTATAGTAGTTAAACTCATCTTTGATATCAGTAATTTAATGTGAATGACTTTGTAGTACACAACTCAGAGACACTTATCCACTATAGATTAAAATTCTTTATGAGCTGTGATAATTTACAGATGGAATATTTTTACATGATTTATGAAGTTGCTGGATGTGCAAATTACCTTTACTTTTTAATCACAGAAGACAAAGAAATTGATGCTGTAAGTTCTTGTATAAAAGTTCCTCTGGCTTTTCAACATTCCATCCCCATCTTGCTGTTCCACAGTTCAGCTTTGATATCTCTATTACATTAACAATATATATCATAGTTAATGGTTGAAATTGAAAAGACTATAAGAAAGCAAATCATCAATGAATGAGTTGAGACATGATCATAGTATAAATCACCAATGTACATATTAACAAGTTTGGCTAAAAATTCTTATTTAGTAAAATATTTAATGAAATTCTAATTAAAAAAAAGTTTGTTATGTTGATATAAATTTAAATAATTGCATGGAGTACCTGTGCCTGCTAAATATTCTGCAACTACGTACTGGTTTTGCTCAAACCAGAATTGGAATAGAAATAACAGAGAAAAAAAGAAAAGAAAGAAGAGAGAGGCTGGATTAGAAAATGAGACTAATTAATGAATTTTTATATTTTTAAATCTATTTGTAACTTGATTCTTTTCATTTTCTTTAATTTATTTTATTTTTTATTTTAAGAAATAGAAAAAAAAATAAGTGAAAAATATAGAAAAATTGAAGAGAAAAAAGATATTTTTTGAAACAAAATAAAATAAATCATGGTTAACATTGGCAAAAAAAATAATTAATTAGTTTTATAAATAAAAAAAATTATTTAATTTGTTTTGCAAAATTAAAGAGACTAATTCATAATTTACTTCAAAATAGAGGTACAAATATGTTAGTAACATTTCAGCCTAGAAATGTTGTACTCTCTACGCATATTTAAAGAAGTTAAACTAACTGGAAATTACCTTATTTCGAAATTATGTGGAAATCACCTTTTTGATGTATAGAAGAAGACAGAGACTTGAAGTTGCAAATTCTTCTATAAAAGCTCCTCTTGCTTTTCATCATTCCGCTGACATCTTGTTGCTCCACAATTCATCTTCTGTGGAATGTAGAAAAGGTAAATAAACAGCTTCACTCCTTGTTGATTTAAGGAGTGAAAGGAAGCACAAACCTCATACCTCTTCAGCTTCTCCACCCAAATATAGCTGTAGCTCCTAGGTGCTCTCTCTCTCTCTATATCTATCTCTATCTCTATCTCTATCTCTGCAAGAAACAACAGTTTAAAGGTTGCAAACTTTACCTTCGTTTTTTATTTCTCTTTCTTGCATTATTATTATTGACCCGTTTGGTTCATTAGTCCATGCCGTCTACGGGAAGCGAACATGCCCAGCTGGTCAACTGATATGTTCGCAGTATTGTTTTTTTGCGGGGGAAAAGTCATGAGGTGGGACTCATCCCCTGACAAAGAAGGACAGAAGATTAATGGCTATATAAAATGCACGTGTGGAAAGTACTAATATATCCTATACAAAACAAACAAACAAAATAAAAGTGGGCTTACTGTTGACCTATTGGTCTTTTTCTTAATAGAATAAATATACGATCGATTTAAAAAAACAAAATTCTTAATAAAGTTATCAAAATAACAATATTAGTATTATTTATAAATTTTTTTACTAGATGTGAATATTAATTTGATTTTATACTAAATAATTTTAATGGATTGATTTAATAGTTAAAAAAATATATTTTATTTTTTAAATTAAAATTTTAAAATCAATATTTATGAAAATTTATTAAATTTTTTAAATGTATTTTATATTATAAAATTATGAATAGTTTTTTAGTATTTTTCTAATATTTGTTTGGCATAATAGTTTAGCAGTAATCATATATGGTGTTGGAAGATGAGATTATTATGTCTCATGTTTTCCTGTCTTGTTCTAATATTAGGATATCGATTTCTTGCTTGCTAGAAGCAAACTAAAATTTCCACCATTAATAGTCTTTACAGAAAATTAATATTGAGAAGAAGAATGCAGCTTCATGGAAAGTTGTTGAAGACAGCGAATTGGTGGAATCCTCTCATGCAAACTATGATACCGTGTTATTGATGTCATAACCGAATTTTCATCATAATTCCTACAATCACCTGCAACTACTCACCATTCCACTCTCCACAAAACTTCCCTACAACTCCTGCAAAATCCTTCTGTGGGGAACCAACCAATTATAAGATATATAAATAATAGCAGGAATGAACCAAAAAAAAAAAAGCATAACAGAGAGTCAGAGAAAGCGGGGAGAAGAGAGCACGAAAAGGAAAAAAGGAAACCGAGAGCAAAAAGAAGGAGATAAAAAAAAAAAAGGATGAAAAAGCAAAGAAAAGGGCCAAGAAAGAGAGCAAAACGAGGAGGCTGCGATTGACAGTTGAGAAGAGCTATAACAACAAACCTTGAGGCTAGCCATGTCTCACAGATCAAGGCACAAGCACCTGGCACGCAACATCGCAAAGCCATCCAAAAGCTACTCCATCACTCTCCTCCACAAGCCACTGACCCATCATCCAGTCCCCTTTGCTCTCATCCATCGACCGACCATCAGAAATCACAGCAACTATCACCTCTATTTTATCAACCTATACGAATTCCGACCGTCTCTACCCACACTGTCATCATCCATATTCAGCATTTTTTTTAGCTTCAACAGGTTTCATTTTTTAACTCTCCCCTTTTCTTTTCGTACTTGATCTATATCTCGTCAAATTGTAGAGTACATGAGAGGTTTTGTTTTGTTTTGTTTTTGTTTGTTTGGATAATGATATTCATAATTGAAAAGGGGCAGGGGCTGCTGCCATGTTTGAGTAGTGATACTAAACTCTGCCTTTCGACAGTAAAGGGAAGGTGATTTTTAGTTTGTTTTTGTAATAGGAGAGCGAGGGAATGAATGAACTTAAATAATAATAATAATAAATAAAAAATAAAAAAACCTATTCTGACCAGAAGAAACAAAGAGAGGGGTGTGATTGACTATGTGGAAAGACAAAAATAAAAGAAAACGTGAAAAGGGGTCAAAAAAGTAGAAAAAAAGAAAAAGTGAAACGGAATAAGAAAATGAAAAAGGCTGGAAAAGGGTTGGTATAAAAAGGTTGCAGTGAAGGATTTTGTTTAATAATAATAATAATAAAAAAAAGGAATAAGGGCTGGCCAAGTCTAGCCCGTGAAGAAGGGCTTAGGCTTGGGCTGGTTGCAGCCTAGCCCAAGCCTTTTCAAAAAAAAGAAGAAGAGAGAGTCAGGCTGGCCTGTTTAGCAGGCCAGCCCAGTGGGCCCATGACCCACCTAAAATAATGCCCAGTGTTTTTTTTTTTTTTTTAGTTTTATTTATTTATTTATAGATATATTTGTATTAAATATTTATTTATGCATGTTTATGTCCTATTTAATTTATATTTTTTTAATATACTAGTTTTTTTTCAAGATGCTAACGAGTGAATGTTAATTAAATGTTAATTAAATTTAATTAGATTTTAGAATTTTAATTTTCACAACTAGTTTAGATAATTAAAAAATAGATTAATTATTGTGTCTCCTAATTTTTAGAGAGTGAGGATGGTTTTATAAAAATAAAAAAATAAAATATATATATATATATATATATATATATATATATATATATATATATAAAAGGAAAGCCTAATAGTTAATTCTTTTTATCAAGATTTCATTTCAAAATTAGATTAATAATTAATAGGTAGATGAATTATCGAGTCTCCTAAACTCTTAGGGACCGATGACGGTTTTCTCGAAATATCAATAATTAGATTCATAATAATAGATAAGTGAATTGTCGAGTCTTTTAAATTCCTAGGGATCGATGATGTTTTTCCTTGAAATGTCAATAATTAGATTAATAACTAATAGGTGGGTGAATTATCGAGCCTCCTAAATTCTTAAGGACCAATGGCGGTTTTTCTTGAAATGTAATAATTAGATTAATAGCTAATAGACGGGTGAATTGTAAAGTCTCCTAAATTCTTAGGGACCGATAACAGCTTTTCCCCGAAATGTTAAGAATTAGATTAGTAATTAATAGTTAGGTGAATTGTCAAGTATCCTAAATTCTAAGAAACATGATTTAAGGTAGTAAGGCAGATCACCATAACTAAGAGAGAGAATTTTGGTGACATTCTCAAGATATGGATCACTCCTCAATAATGTCAAACCAAGATTATTGAACAATTTTTTCCACTCTAGAACCACCTTTTCTTTGCTCGCTAGCAGTCCACCGATGGCGACAATGGCGAGAGGCAATCCTCTGCATTGTCCGAGTATGTCCCTCGACAACTCCTCCAAATCTGTAGGGCATCGGCCTTCAAATTCACGCTTGAATGTCTTCTTGCAAAACAACTCCCATCAATCTTGTTGGCCTAGACGTTCCAGCAAATGGACATGAGCTGATGAATATCTCTTACATAAATCAGCAACACCCACATTTCTTGTTGCGATTAATATTCTACTGCCTTTATTATTATCCAGAAAAGCATGCTCTACGTCTTCCCAAAATCCAATTTACATACATCATCGATTACAATGAAATACCCCTCTAGCTGTAAATAATTTCTGAGCTCGCCAATCAATGATGACTCATCGACTGTGACAATGTTTTCAGGACAACACTCTTTTTTGGCTTCATATGATTGAGACACCATCGCCCAAGCATGACATTTGAAGTGATCTTTCACTCTTAGGCTGTCGTATACTTTCTTAGCAAGAGTGGTTTTACCCACTCCCCCATACCAACAAATGAGATGACCGTCCTTTGAGTAGCTTGTCAGTTTATCTCTTGGAGATTCAATGCCAACAAGTTCGCCTTGTTCAATGAAAATAGAACCCATGCGAGGATCATGCAATATTGCTCTTCTTGCATTACTAGATGCTCCTTGCTCTGAAGAAATGAACTGGAATGCTACACTTATCTCCTTGATAGTTTGAAGAACTTTTTGAATATCTAGAATTTCTGATGCTATCTCGTGGCGTGCCTGCAATTTCATAACTAAGAAAGCAATTCTATGTAAGAAGCCTACACATCCACGTCGATCACGATGTTGTGTCCCAAGAAGCATGTATTTGTCAATGACATCTTCAATGTGATAGGCCACTTTTGTGCTTGCTTGACCCATATTTTCACACCCTCATTGATGCCTTCTTTCTTTGCCTTCGAATCTGCAACTTTCAGGAAAGCTCTAATGGCTTCCAAATCATCTTTGATAACTTCAACTTCTTTGTGGATGCCTTTCAATAGTGCCACTTTTGGATTAGCAATGCAGCCAACTTGTCAATAGCAAAGCTCAATGGTGACTCTGCCATTTCTCTACTCTGTCTTTTGACCCCACCAACTTGTCTTCTTACCTAAGATCATGGATTCTGAAGTTAGGCTTCTCAAACTAGTTAGTTTATATATTTCATGTTTAGTTAAAGCATTTAACATAGTCAAATCAATTGCTTATGCAAGTCTTTTTACCGCATTTAAAATATGATTGCTAGATGATTCTAAAGGATTTAGTGTAATACAAAAACTGATTTGCGTGTGAATGACACACTTATCCACTATAGATTAAAATTCTCTATGAGTCATGATAATTTACATATGGAGTACTTTTACATGACCTATGAAGTTGCTGGATGTGCAAATTACCTTTACTTTTCAATCACAGAAGGCAAAGAACTTGATGCTGTGAATTCTTCTATAAAAGTTCCTCTGGCTTTTCAACATTCCATCCCCATCTTGTTGTTCCATAATTCAGCTTTGATATCTCTATTACATCAACAATATATATCATAGTTAATGTTTGAAAGTGAAAAGACTATAAGTAAGCAAATCTATTACTATTATAATTCAGATCAATAATCCGCTAACCAATGAATGAGTTAAGACATGATCATAGTATAAATCAGCAACATACAGTTTTATGTCTTGGCTAAAAATTCTTATTTAGTAAAATATTTAATGAACTTCTAATTAAAAAAACATGTTTGTTATCTGACATCATTGCAGAATTTGAAGGGAAAGTATGATATCCAATGGGAATCAAATGAAGTAAAGAGAGAAGACGATGACCGAGCTAATTAGTACAACCAAGATGAAGATATCACAGCATAAAATTAGTATAGAAATACACAGTTAAGATTGAATTTCATCTAAAAAACTTAAGTAAAGAAGGGTTTAAGTCAGATATCATAAGTTCAAATCCTAACAGACTAGTTCTTTTAGAAGATTTGGGTGTATAAGTTAAAAAAAAAGGGTTTAAGTTTCTATTTTCTTTAACGTTAATGTAACAGGAGTGAATTGCTTTTTATTGTATAACCAAAGACCCATCAAATGTGGTAAATAAATAGAGAGCGAGAGAGAGAGAGAAGCAATACTCATGAATAAATAGACATACAAATGAAATGTCTAAAATTTTGGAAACTAAAACGAAATGGTGTTTTATTGTAACTAAATTAATCCATGTTTTAATAAATAGACATACAATTAATATTATTCTGTATTTAATTTATTTTTCTTTATATTGGTTAATTTTTATTTTATGCCAAGATTTTTTAAAATATTAAAAGATATTTTATAGACTTATCCATGAGAAAATGCAAGTACTATGCTTGCTTGTAGGTATAAGAGATCACTGGAAATTTTGACTTGTTGGAAAGTTTTATGCTTCTTTATCCAGTTAAAATATTGTTCTAGCAGACTTTGAGTGAAACTATGATATTAATGATACAAATTCTTACAAACTTCAGTATGTATATTATATTATATTAAGCAGACACGACTCCTTAAAAGTCTGTTGGAGCTAAGCTAATAAATGAGATGTCATCTTCTATGAATAGTTGATGGATGTTGAAATTATGAGAGAATTGCCATTTTCATGTACAGAAGACAGAGACTTGAAGTTGCATATTCCTGTATATAAAAGCTCCTCTTGCTTCTTATTATTCCATTGACATCTTGTTGCTCCACAACATCTCTAACTTCTGTGGAATTTAGTCAGACACTCAAATTACATAGCATAGTCAGCAGAGTGGTGTAGTAATTGGTGTCGGTATATGATATGGTTGGAGAAATAGTAAGAGAAAATGTCTCAAAATTACAAACCTCATAATTCTTCAGCTTCTCCACCTAAATATAGCTGTAGCTCCTACCTACCATTCAATGATGTGGTTGTAAACTGTTGCTTTTTTTCCTGTATCTGTGTTTTTCGGATCTTCTCCTATTCTATCTCTCACTCAACTTAAAGCACAGTAGCTACCTCTTTTTGTGTTCTTCAATATAAGATTTCACATCATTCTTCAGTATAAAGATTGGGGAAGAACCTTTTTCGGGACCATTAAAAGAAAAAAAAATGTTTATTCTTTTAAGCGGTTAATTTAAGGCTTGAACTGTCTTTTTGGGGTTATTGACATTTGAGAGTGCTCCATCCAAAATTGTTCTTAGATAGGAGTAAAGTTTTGCGTTATAATCCTATTCTTTGTCATCCAAAAAATTAATAAACATCCACATTAAAAAACTACAACATTAAGAAAAAAAAATACAAGTTCGGAAAAACTATCAATCTAATTTCAAATAGACTCAAATCTCACGATATTTCTATATATTAATTAAAAGAATACATCAAATAAATGACACAAGACTTATTGTAGACCTTCTCAATATAGATGGCTCAGCTCATTAATTCGATTTTTTATCTTACTGATATAAACCAATAGGTCTTAGAATTTATGGAGCAGCATGAGTGTTGTTGTAAAGCTTGAAACTGTAAAAAAATAAATTTATCAGTCTAATTTTGAGGTTTTTTTAAGCCTAGTTCGATGCGAAATGCTCCAACAAGCCAAAATCATAATACGCCACGTGGAGATATGATTTTAACAAAAAAAAAAAAAAGAAGACTGTTTAAGCCCTCAAAACAAACTTTTTCTATTTTTAGGGATTTTTTTTTTAATTTTTGGATTTTTTTTTCTTTCTGAGTTGATTGAGGTTTTTTTTTTTTCCCTAAATTTTCTATTTTTGTATGACTTGGAAGTTGAATACGACAATTTTTTCTTGGTTAATAAAATTTTATAAGAGAGTATCTTAATTTATCCCAACTTTTAATATTCTTTGAATCAATGAAATTTGAAACTTATTTTTTGGGATTTGTGTGCAATTCAATATATTGTAGTAGACTGATATCTGAAATTCATGTTTAAATCTACAGATCAACGGTGTTTATTCTCTTTTGTAAGCTTCGACTACATCACTTACACAAAAAAAAAAAAAATGCATTATCTATATTTATTAAAAAATTACTTTCTAAATTCATACATGATTTATATCCAGTGTATTTATCCATTTAATACTCATATATATATATATATATATATATATATATATATATATATATAGACTTAAATTTTTACGACGTCGTTTCAAAACAAAAAAACATTCGTTTTATTCAATGGAGCAGGGACTTGGATATAATGAAATGCCATTCGGTTTCAAATTCTTTATGATAATATTCAAGAACTACAGACGAGAAGACTATCTGATCTATCAGCCACAAACATCTTATCTATCAACCACAAACATTCCTCGCTGCTTCAACTCCTCTCTATGAAATTATGTGGAAATTACCTTTCATGTATAGAAGACAGAGACTTGAAGTTGTGGCTATAGCTCCTAGGTGCTGTATATCTCCCCCCCCCCCCCCCCCCCCTCTCTCTCTCTCTCTCTCTCTCTCTATATATATATATATATATATATATATCTACAAGAAACAACAGTTTAAAGGTTGTAAACTTTACCTTCACCTTTCCTTTCTCTTTCTTGCATGCTTATTATTGACCTGTTTGGCTGTATGCAGAAACGAATATGGCTAGCTGGTCCACTGACAGGCGGTAGCTTTCAAATTTATTAGTTTATGGTAGTAGCTTTCAAAGGCTTAATATTAGTTTATTCACTCCAATGCCTAAAAAATAGTTTATTTACATTCTTGGTACCTGCAGTAGCTTTCAAATTTATGCTGTCTGTTTCTGCTCAGTTAGAGCTGATTTGTAATGTTTTGTGTCGAGCATCTAGATCTGTACCAAACAATTTCAGAGCACAAACAATCACCAAAGCATATCTCCTAATTCGCAGCTGAACGATTATAGTTAATGAGAGAGTAAAAATCCCTCTGGCTATCTGAGCTAAATAAACCTTCTTTTTTCCTTAGATAAATAAAGCAAGGAGTTGATCATCTGAGGTATCCAATTGAAGCAGTACTGAAGGAGCTACATGGAGAGCCTAAGAGAATCTCATATGCAACAAGGAGTAGGCCGCTCGCTAATCCTCTTTCCTTTTGCATTACAAGGTCATATAAACCCCATGCTTCAACTTGCAAACATCCTGTATTCCAAAGGCTTCTCCATCATCATAATCCACACTCGCTTCAACTCTCCAAATCCTCATAACTACCCTCACTTCACCTTCTATTCGATTCCCGATGGCCTCTTGAAACATGAGGCTTCTACTGCAGATGTCATATATTTGGTGACACTCCTCAATATCAAATGCGTTAAACCCTTTAGTGAGGCTTTATCTAAGTTGTTGATAGATGTTAAGGAGGAGCCAATTTCTTGCATAATTACAGATGCCGCCTGGTACTTTACTCAAGCTGTTGCTAACAGCATTAAGCTTCCAAGGATTGTGCTACGGACCAGTGACATTTCTTCATTCTTTGTTTTTGCTGCTTTTCCACTTCTGCTAGAAAAGGGTTATTTCAAGGTCAAAGGTGCGTCCTTACTACTTACAACTTTATTGTTAATGAAGTCCAATGGTATGAAATGCAATTTATGTCCAACGGTATGTTCCCAATTGTGTTTGTTCAGCAGATAGATATTTCTATTTTGCATTAATTATCTAACCAATTACCAAAATTTATTCCTGTCTTCTCTCTTTTAGTTTCTTACCTTTTATTTACTTATTCATTTTTGGGTGCCCTTAGATTCTCAACTAGAAGAACCAATTACAGAGACTCCCCCACTTAAAGTGAAAGATCTTCCAAAATTTAAGACAGAAGACGCAAAAGATGTTCATAGTTATGTAGCCCAATTGATAAATGAAAGCAAGGCCTCGTCAGGACTCATTTGGAACTCTTTTGGAGAGCTCGAGCAACATTCACTTACTAGATTATGTCAGGACTTTCCTATTCCCATTTTCACAATAGGTCCATTTCACAAGTACTTGCCAGCCTCTTCAAGCAGTTTATTAACACAAGACCAAAGCTGCATTTCCTGGCTAGATGCCCAAGTTCCTAACTCTGTGCTCTATGTGAGCTTTGGAAGTGTTGCGGCCATAAATAAGATTGAATTTCAGGAGATAGCTTGGGGGCTGGCCAACAGCAATCAACCTTTCTTGTGGGTTGTTCGACCAGGATTAGTCCAGGGCTCAGAATGCCTTGAACTGTTGCCGGACGGATTCCTTGAGATGGTAGGTGAAAGGGGTTATATCGTGAAATGGGCTCCTCAACAAGAGGTTCTAGCACACCCTGCCACTGGAGGGTTTTGGACACACAACGGGTGGAATTCCACATTAGAAGGAATTTGTGAAGGGGTGCCCATGATTTGTCAGCCTTCATTTGGCGACCAGAAAGTAATAGCTAGGTATGTAAGTGATGTTTGGAAAATTGGGATACACTTGGATTATACGCTTGAGAGAGGGAAGATAGAGAGGACAATCAAAAGATTAATGGCAGAGGCAGAAGGGCAAAGAATAAAGGAGAGAATAATGTCTTTGAAAGAGAAGGTAGAACTTTGTGTGAGACAAGGGGGCTCTTCTTACCGCTCTCTTGCGAGCTTGGTCGATTACATTTTATCTTTCTAGATTTTGAATTTTTGTTCACTTGGTTCATTTCAATCTTAACCCAAAACAACAGTTCCCTTTTGCAGAATTAGTTTATAGGCCTGACCTTCAACTGAGGCAGTAGTTTCTCAGGAAGAGGATTCCTTATTTTCAAGTTATCGTACATAATAGTACCAGTTTATGTGTACTCAAAATTTAAGCAATTTTTGCAATTTGAATTGAATTTAGTGTCTCTGGAAAACTCAACCAGTGACCTTATGGATTTGAATTGCTTATATTATTACTGATGTTATCGGATCAGGAGTTCTGTCCTTGGCTTGGAGTACAACACAGCTAGGATGGATAGCAGGGCCAATTTCCTTGCTTTGCTTTGCGATTATCACCAACGTTTCTGCATTCCTTCTTTCTGTTGCTATAGGTCCCTTGACCCTGTTACCTTTGAACTTGTCTCCGAAATCACAATAATTTTCGGTTAGGATATGCTTTAAATGCTTCCTAATCTGATGCGGTGATAGTTCAGGTTGAACACAAAGACGGTTTGGTGGTTTTCTCCAATATATGAGCATATATGGGGCTGGTGTTGCTTATATTATTACTACTTCAACCTCGCATGAGGTACTTCCTCATCGAATTCTATGATTTACACATTTTTCCATCCCTTGTGTTTGAGACTGCTTTGGATAAATGCCCTTGCAAGATTAAGAATTGATATGCTTGTGTCTCTACATCACCTGTATTTTGTTTAGTGCTTTTCCTATCCTTTCTTTGTTGAGGATTGCTAGTTCTTTTCATGTTTTCAGCGAGGGTACTTTTCTCTGATTCTCATAACATGGAATGGCTCTCAGTAATTGCAACAATCATGTCCTTTACCTACTCTTTTATCAGATTTGGACTTGGTGTTGCAAAAGTAATAGTTATTGCTGCTAATCTGGTCAGTTCTTCCTTCCTGTTTATAGAAATCATGCTCTGCTAGAAAATACTCGACCTTTTCAGTCACTTGCAGCAAATTAATTGGTGTTGAAGCTCAATTCTGTGTTTTTGAGGTTGTGTAGAGATTAGTGACTCTCCATGGAGTCTTGAAACACTGTTCAATTTTAATCTATGATCCAGACTTAGTATGTAGGATAAGCATGGATCTTTCGTTCGGAGAAGCCTCGAAAACTGATGTAACTGCAGAGAATTGGAGGATTACTGAAGTCTCACTTATACCCTTGATATTTTTAAGAGTTATCCTGATATCTTGAATTTCTGACGCTATTTCATGGCATGGTCGCAATTTCATGACCAAGGAAGAGAATGTATGCAATAAGCCCACAAATCCAGGTCGATCACGATGCTTTGCCATGTGAAGCATGTATTTGTCAATGACATCTTCAATGTGATAAGCTATATCCCTCGCTTACTTTACCTATATATACTTTCACACCCTCGCTGATGCCTTCTTTCTTTGCCATTGAATCTGCATCTTTTATAAAAGCTCTAATGGCTTCCAGATCATCTTTGATATCTGCAACATTTTTTATGGACGCCTTTCAATTGTTTCACCTCTTGAGTTAGGAACAAAACCAACTTGTTAATAGCAAGATTCAATGCAGACTCTGCCATTTTTCCTACTCTCTTTTCTTCTAACTCTATTTGACCTTCTTTTCTGGTGCCATCCTGTGAGAACGCATTTCGAAGCGAGGATCACTGAAAATTTTGATTTGCTTGAACTTTTCAATCCTTCTTTTTCCGCATATAAAATGTTCTGCACAGACTCCACAGACTAAACTATATAGAATGTGGGAATTAGTACCTTGCTTTTTATGCAGAAGAAATAATTCATTGAGCAAGTTGTGGATTTGGTTCAAGCAGAGAGAAGAGAAGACCAAACTTATCGATCAACCACAAACTTTAATCGCTGCTTCAACTCCTCTCTATATCTCTACAAGAAACAACAGTTCGAAGGTTGTTAACTTTGCACCATGTCATTTTCTTAATTTTATAACTATTTGGTAATTTCATAAGTTATATTAGGCCAAAAGGTTTCCTATGGATCCACATACCATATGGGTCCATGATCATCTCACATTAATTAACCATATGGGTCAGTCCATCTATAATCAAACTTTGGACTTGATGTCGAAGCCCATAATATACCTTATATAATAATGTTGAGCCTAACATTAGAAGATTCAGAACTAGTATAAATGAATGAAAGCACTGTAAGAATTTGTTGTTTGTCAAATAATTCTATAACATTTAAGTATGTACCTGAATACTTAACCTGAAATTTCCTTCAAGAGAAGATTAAAAACTGATTACCTTTTTTTTTCCCATTTGTTCAGGATTTGGAGAAGGGTTTTGTTAGGATTTTTCCCAAGAGAAATTTAACAATTCTGAAAAAAATCAGCAAATAGAGTTTTTTAAATTGAAATTTAATTTATTAATGACTTTTATATATAAGGTGAAACCCTTCTTCGCAAACAGATCCGACCAAATCCAACACCGTTATTCCCGGACCTATTAGGTGGAAAGACATAGTGCTTCCGGATGAATGGATCTTGGAAGGAATTACAAAACCCGGATCTCTACCGGTTCTCGAGGTCCCAAAACCAAACACACAAATCGGATCCATAGAACAACACATGGATGGGAGTGTTAGACTCTCGTTTGACGGAAAATTTACCAGCGAGTAGATTTTCCGATATTGCCTCTAGTTCCATGACTTATGACCTAGGAAGATTTTCCGAGATTCCTTCGATCATAAATTTACCAAATGTTAGGAGAGATACGGACTTGGATCGAGTCTCGCCATCCCTTAGACAACCACGTAGGTTTTCAACCTCGGATGTCCCTAACCCAGCTTTTACAAAACGTTGATTATGGTACCCATGTTCCATTTCATACCCCGCACCATTCGTTAGATCCTTGGGTCTTAT